CTACATAATTGTGAATCATTTTTAAATGCGATATTATTAGAAAAGTCTCAAATACCGACAGAATTAATTGACAAAAAATATTTCGTCAAAAATAGTGATGAATTTTTTGATGAAAATCATATACGTCAAAATATTTCCGTCAAAACTAAAGACAAAATTAGAGACGGAACCAAATTTGGCCATAATCACTAACATAAATTTTGTACGGAAAAAAAATATTCAGTCAAAATTATTGATAGAATCTAAATTTTGTCGAAACTTTTAACGAAAATATTTCCGTCCAAAATTTTGATGAAACAGATTTCCATCGAAAAGTTTTGACGTAAACGTCAAAAAATTTTATGGAAAATATTTCCATCAAAATTTGTGACTAAAAATATTTCTGTAAAAAATTTTGACGAATATTTTTTTTTTTGCCAAAAATCTTTACGGAACCTAAATTTTGCCAAAATATTTCAAAAAAAACATATTCATTGAAATTTTTGACGCAAAATATTTCCATCAAAATTTTCAACGAAACACATTTCTATCAAAAATTGTTGACGGAATTTTTTTTCATCAACATTCTTAACAGAATTTAAATTTCGCTGAAAATTTTCTACGGAAATATTTTCGTTAAACTTTTTGGCAAAAAAAAGTTCTGTCTAAATTTTTAACGAAACACATTTCCATCAAAAAATTTCGACGAAAAATATTTTCGTCAAGTTTTTTGATAAAAAATATTTCCATCAAAATTTTCAACGGAACGCATTTTTGTCAAAAAATTTCGACAGAAAATATTTTCGTAACAATTTTTGACGAAAAATATTTCGACAAAAAAATTTGACGGAAAAAATATTCTGTCAAAATTCTTTACAGAATCTAAATTTCGTCGAATGAAACATTTCCCTCAAAATTTCTAGCAAAACAATTTCTGTCGAAATTTTCGTCAGAACATATTTCTATTGAAATTTTGAACGAAAAACGTTCTGTCAAAATTTTTGACAGAATTCTTTTTTCGTTTAAAACATTTGATGGAGACTAAATTTCGATGGAAAATTTATTTTAGTAAAAATTTTCATCAGTTGAAAAATTCCATCGCTTTTCAACAAAAAGTATTCTGACGATAAAAATAATTTTGTGATAAAAATTTCATCGTTTGCAACGTAAAAATTTCACCAAAAATATGATATTTTTGGTGTTGTGAAAAGTACATACATAATTTTGTTTGAAATTTTAAATTTAATTTAATTTGTAAAATATAATAATTATATTAATTTAAAAAAAAAGTAAAATGATAAAAATATCTCATAACCCTCAATTTTTCTCCTTTACCATTTTTTTAACTCGCAAACAAGGAAAGAGAATACTCTCCAAATTTCTTCCCCTCTCTTCTCCTTAGATCCCCTTTGTTCCCCTCCCCTCCAAACTCCCAAACAAACCCAGCAAGAGAAAGATCATGCTCGTGCTTTGTAACACATCCACACATCCGTTTCCTTTTTTTTGGAACATATGTGAATAACCGGCCAGTAATTAACCTCCCAGTCTCGGCAAAGCGACCCTTAACCGTGGAAAAAAGACGGGTACGGGGCACCACTGCCTGATGAGATGACATAGGAATGTTCTCACGCAGCTTCCAAATGCATTTGATTAATCAATTTTCATTTTTAAATTTAAGAAAAATAAATCCAAGACTTTCCATTACTAACTTTTTGACCAGAGATAGAGTTATTAAAGAAGTCTAAAATACATTGAATAACATGAACCTGGCTCATTTTTTATTTATTTTTTATTTTGGATTCATTGGAATCTGGCTCATTAAAGATTTGACAAATAAGACCTGATCATTAACGAAGCAAGAGATATAAACAAAAAAAGGTCCACCTGTGAGTAGAAAAAGGATTCTACAGATCATTATCAAATTATGCCCGGACAGCCTTGTTATCGTGTTACTAGTAGTATATTTTGTTCAGATTTTTTACAAGGAAAAACACTTTTGAAATAAAAAAGTTATTTCAAAACTAAAATTGTCATGCAATCACTGTTGGATTAAACTGTGCGACGACAATTTTGTGTGTTCAAATTATAATGTTTCGGGAAAAAAAAAATATATTGCGTGTTCACATTATAATTTTTGACGATAATGAATTAATCCTAAATCCTAAATAAGACTATCGGTTTATTATAGAAAAAGTCAGAAAGGTGCTATAATAGGGTAGTTGCAAAGGACGCAAAAAAAAAAAATGTAAGGTGAGATAGTGATATGCATTACAAGAAAGAATTATGTAAAAGAAATTTGGCTCCTCTCTTGACTAATTTTCAAACCTTTTCAAGCATGAATTTTGACCGGTACTTTTCCATCCTTTATTTTTTTTCGTCTAAAAATACTGTTGAGATGTATAAAACTATTAAAAAACTCTCACCTATAAGCTTAAATTTTTGGGTTGAATTGATTCTTTACATGGTATCAGAGCCTCGTGCCCCGGGTTCAATCCTCGTTGCCCTCCACTTTCTTTTTGGTGGAATTTATTTTTTTGCACAGGTACGTGGGCATGTGCATTGTCCACCCTTCAAGCCCAGTGAACTTTCGTGTGAGAGGGCGTGTTGAGATATATAAAACTATTAAAAAACCCTTACCCACCAGCTTAAGCTTTTGTGTTGAATTGGTTCTTTACAAAAACAATTTTCATATGAATTAAAATAATAAACTCCAAAGATTTATAAAAAAATATTAATTTAGTTTTCAAAAGACGCTACTAATTATTGAATGATGGCTTTTACTATACTCGATAAACATCAATTTAATTTTAGGAAATGGTGAAAAATCAATTTGATATTCGAAACAGTGTTTTAAAACCTCACCCCACCTTCTGAGTTGACCCGAGTCAACCCTGACCCCTCCCCTCTAAGGGTTGAGGTCACAAGTTGGACCCTATATGCACATTGATTCCTCCGACCCCCCAAACCCGGCCAGGTTTCAGTGACTCCCTGGTCAGAGGAGTCATAGGGGGACACTGCATCTTTTTTTTTTTTTTTTAAATTTCTACGAAACAACGTCGTTTTTTTAAAAAATAAAATAAAAATACTTGCAAACCTAAATCTAATCGTTCTATTCTCTCCCAGTGACCTAGACTTGTGGTATCTTGATACTTTGGTATCATTAGAATATGAGTTTTGTACTTTGGTATCTTGATACTTTAATTAGGTTGTGTAATATTGACTTGTAGTTATAATTGGTGAATTATATTAAATATATTTTGAATCTTTAATGATTGGTGATTTGTTTTTTAATATTTTTATATAGAATATATATATTTATAATTTTTTAATATATAAAACCGGTCAGCGTAGTGACCCCCGGTTGAACCCGTGACCCCGTGACTCCTGACCTCGATCGGATTGATAACCAGGCCGAGTTTTTAAACACTGATTCGAAAAGTACCATTTGACGAATAAATTAAGGAATTAATATTTCCCCTGCAATTAGGAAATCAAATTCTACAACCCTTAAATGACATTGATTTGGTGTTTAAGGGAAAAAATATAGGATATTTTATTAAAAGGGTAGGATATTGTAACAACCAAGTTATGTTACAACTAATGTTACTACCAATAATTTCACCATTAGATTGGTTTTTTGATCCGACGGTCCAAATTTGATTCTTATATACTCCTTCTTTCTCTCTTCCTTTCTCTCTCTGACTATACTGGAAAGACAAAAGAAAAATACATTATACAAAAGAAAAATAAAAATTTCAAAATATCATGTATTTTTTCCCATAAACCCCAAAACAACTGGAGAGACATTTTATCCATAAACTAATATAATAACATTCCAAATGATAAATTAATGTTCTCTAAATTTATTGGGCATCAAAATAAAAGTTTATATAACTTTAACTGTCTAAAATTATTTTGTGTGGTGTTGCGCATAAAAAATATTAAATTTCACTGCATAAGACATATATATAAATTGAATCCACAAAATAATTAAGAAAATAAATTTCATATAAAAAAATCGCATCATCGCATGTCAACTAATGCTTCTTTTCTACTTTTCTTTCATGTTTTGCAATTTCATTTTAGGTATTGGTGTTTCTTATATTGTAGGAGATAAAATTATAGTATTGGTGTTTCTTATATTGTAGGAGATAAAATTATCTCCTATATAAAAATATGTGTGGTCTATTTTTTTTTCTTTTTTCTTTTTTACATGGACCCCATATATTTTTATATATAGATAAAATTAACTTAAAAACATTAACCTCTTCATTTCAATGCATATAGGTTCAATGCTTCTTGCTACTTTTCAAGATGTCACCTTCCAAGAAGACAATTCTCTCACCTCTCTGAACTCTCTAGGTAAATTTTCTGTAGATAATTTTTCAATTACATTTAGTCTAATCACTTTTTTTTTCACGAGTCTATATCTTTCTAATTTAAATAGGAATGATGAACTATAAAATTTTTAAAAATAATCGAACAATGAAGGTAGATAAACAAATCAAAAAAAATAAAAATTACTCCAAGGCATATTTTTCTTTCTTTTTCTTCAATTGTGTATTCATGCAATATGAGGTAGACTTTTCCCAAAGTGTAGATGATCCCCACTCGTATACTTTTCAAATCCCTTTACTCTCTTTGATTTGTTCTTTCCGTTCACACAGAATTATCAATTTTATGAATTCTTATGAGGACTGTCTCCCTATCAAGCAGCCAGCTGCAACCATTTTAATTCTTCAATCATATATCTCTTTCTGCCAATATTTGGTTTCTTCCTTTCTTTTTTTGGGTCAATGAAGCCAAGCCACTTCTTCTATCTCCCGACCACACATCATCACACAGTACAGTACACACATATATATATAGGGATAGGGATAGGTTATGTTACAACAAAAAAAGCGATCAATTAGAATGACATATAGAATTGTAGACCAACAATATCGGAGACCAGAATATACACAAACTCCGATCTCATCATCATAATGCAAAAGACTTAGCATCAATTTTCCGTGCACCCCATGGATGACGTCTTCTCCCTCCCCGAAGTCGCCAGAACTGATTTTCTCCGCTCCTTAGTTCATTCTTTTGGCTGCGCTTACATTTGTTTGTGGCGATATGATTCCAATTTATCCAAGTATATATATACAGAGATCATTAGATATTGGTATTTGTGAATATAACTTATTTTTTATTTCTTAGGCTTGCACTTACACTTCGATCTTCTTCTTCTTCTTCTTTGTATAGTCTTTTGTTCTTCTTGGATGGTTTCTACAACGTAATAAACAACCAACCAAGCTCATCTTTGGAGAGTAGTGTATCTGAAAGGCTTTTTAACCAATATCAGCGTTTAACCTTTGATGTCAATGATGAGTAAGGCTAATTAACTTTCCTGTTCCCTGATTTTAATTTAAATTAAGATTTGTATTTTAAGTTCAGTTCTTGATCAGCATGTAAATGTTTTTTTTTTTTTCACTACAAGTTAATTTTACTTTTTTTTTTTTTTGTATTAGCTGTGTTCCTGGACTAGCTTTCAGGAACCGCCTTCCCTATCTGGAGCTGCAACAATTGGATCTTCTAAGACTTGTATCGACAGAAACACAGACACAATTCTTTCAGGTATAACTACTTTAAGAATATAGAAGACAATTAATTAATTTATTATAAAATAATGCTTATGTTTATGAAGGATACATTGGCTAAAGTGTCTCATTTTATGCTTTTTACAGGAAGCAAGGATTAAGGTTAGATTTATTGTTGAAGAAACTGAAAACACCCTCTATAGTTTGTTTCCTGAAATTGTAATATTTTGTCATTAATGCTTAATCCTTAATCCTTATTCGCAGACTGCTGTTTTTATGGGGTGCAACAAAGGGGAAATTGAGCTTGGGTTCTCGAATATATCTCCAGTAAGCAAATTAAGTATCTACTATTAGATTGATTAATTAATTAATTATGTAATTTCATTTCATTAACCAAATGATGAGTCAATATTATTAATTATTGAATTTGACATCCATAAACTTGTTATATATCTTGCAGGCTGACATTAAGACAGCACTTGGGAGTTTATTTCCAAAAGATATCTCCATACATTCCCAATCGATGGATCAGAATCCACCTTCATCATCTTCATCTTCTTTCATATCATTATCCACAGGTAGCCCAGAGTACTCATCCCTGTTGTTCAGTATTCCGGGCACTACTTCCCTGTCCCATTTTCCTGAAACCCTTGGTGTGGTTCCCACAATGCAACCTACTGTGCCAGCCTCACAAACTAGCCCACACCAACAAGCCATTCCAAGTCTTTTCCCCACACTAGAGGGTGAACATGATGCAATAATAAGAGCAATGCTTCATGTTATATCTTCACCACCTTCTTCAACTTCTCATCAGCATCAACCCCAGCAAAATTTGCCTTATACTTCAGTGATACATCCAGAAGCTACTGCTTTCAAGAGATATAGACCAAACATAACATCTCAATTGGGATTGATCAGTTTTCGGAGGCAAAGCCTGTTGAATAGATCATTTGCATTCTTTAGAAGATTAAATTTAACGAGAATGAGAGAACTCGTTCAAGCAACACATACCACTAGTGCACAGCTGCATCATATGATATCAGAGCGAAGAAGGCGTGAAAAACTCAATGAGAATTTTCAGACACTTAGAACACTGCTTCCTCCAGGAACTAAGGTATGATCTAACTTCAATTTAATTTTCTCCTGTAAGCAATGCACATGTAACTTTTTGATATGCTATTCAAAATCAAAGACTGAGATATTTGAAATTACAGTTTAGAAAGAGATAAAAAAACCTTTTCAACCCAAAAAAAAAAATTTCAAAAGTTTTTGGATTGAAATGGTTTTTATATATATACTATTATAATGATCTAGTTCAATTCTTAATATTGTCGTTTTATTAATAAATAATTAAATATTATAAAGTTTTTTAATATCAATATATTGTCTCTATTTTCAAGTTCAATGTACTTTCATGTGAGGAATCGTATTAGAGAAATATGATATAAAATATAAAACTATTAGTGTGTCTTCGCCTCACCGTTTTTGGTTGAAATGGGCTTTTGGTTTCAAATGGTTCAGAAAGACAAAGCTTCAATCCTTACAACAGCGAAGGAGACACTGAGCTCTTTGATGGCTGAAATTGAAAGGCTTAGCTCAAGAAATCAGCAGTTGATAACACTTTTGTCAGCCAAAGAAAGTACTATTAATGAAGAAAGCAAAGGTAGCTCCTCAAATGAAAGATTGCATGTTCGGGTTTCACATGTATTGGAATCTAGCTCATCAGAAGAGCAAATGGTGGACTTGCAAGTGATTGTGAGAGGAGAAAGTTCTCAAGTTGATATATTGATTCGCTTATTAGAATTCTTAAAGCGGGTTCAGAACGTGAGCTTGATTTCCACGGACGTAAACACTCATACTACAGAAGAGACAGCCATTAATCAATTAACCTTCCGGCTAAGGATTATTGAGGTATGTACCACAAAGAATAGTTCGTGAAATAATACGTAACATGTTGGAAATATTTGCCTTTTGTGTATAGCATCGATTAATTAAAAATACTAATTGTGAGGCTCTTCAAGAAGTGTTTGATTACAAGTACTACTTGTTAGAGAGGTTTTATAAATGAGAAATCATTATCTCATTTTACATTAGATAATTATATCATGTTGTTAATTTTCACATCAAAAATTGTGTCACCATTTTTTTCTTCTTTTTTTTAATAGGTGGTGGACCCCACCACATCATGTGTCTATAGTAGGAGATATCTCCAATGATATAAGAAAATAAAATCACTTTATAAATATATAAATACTGGGACACTATATATGTGCCTTGGTTAAACCAAAAGGCACTTCACCTTTGATTAACCTAGTTTTTATAACGGTCCAAACCGAATACATATGCTAGCTGGTGTACTAGAGAACGAAAATAAGAAGAAAAAAATTGTTATAATCTCATGCGTTAGTTAAGCCAGTGAAAACCAATTGTCGTGAATAGTTACTAAGTGAATGGTTTAGAGGTTTTAACCAAGGTACTTAATCATATAATATCTCTAGTTAGTGTGCACTATCATCACCTCAGAATTCATACTCAGATCTCACAATGTGACGATAAAATCAATTATCTATATTGTTAATTTAATGTTCTACATTTGAAAGGAAGCAGCTCAGAAAGTGCAGTTGAAATTGGGAAGGTGGTTTGGTTTGGTGTGCTGAGATTTTTTACTTTACGCGGATATATGTTATCGAAACTAAATATATTCAATTAACAATTCAAAAAGATGATTCTATTTTGGCAGCCATCAAAACCATCATAATAATGTATGTTCATCATTTCTAACTTTTTCTACTCTAGCATTCATAAAATATTGTACACAGATCCATCATTTATTAAAAATGAACGTTAAGAGGGTAAGAAATTATATCCAAATATAAGTTAGTTTTAAAATTTTACGTGCTTTGAAATTTAACAATTTGACTTCTTAAACTTATTAAATTATGCCATATTGCACCAATAAAAACTAACCCTAATACATATATAAAGACACCTCATGTAAGAAGTGAATATGCACAATTTGATAAATTGAAATTATTGAGTTTTTCATTAAACTTTTCTAAAATTGGTTTGTGATTGGAAGGAGTTAATTTGTTATATATATATATATATATATATATATGTATATATATATGAATTATTTATTTGTCATGTCACTTGACCGTCATGTCATCCAAAACTATGTCATTTTGCATATTTATTTTTCTTATGTAATTGATCAAAAATAGATATTATATTTCTCTCTTCTTTTATTATCATTGATCCACCTTTGTATGATTATTATTCCCTGACTGGACAAATTCTTATGTCAAGTGACTTGACATCAGATTAACCCTATATATATATATATATATATATATATATATATATATATATATATGAGTTTATCATTTTTGAAGATAAAATTATCTCCAGTAATTCTAAAATTACATCATTTTGGAAATTGAGAGAATTAATAAAGGGTGTTTTGATAAAATTCATATAACAAAAAAACAAACAATTTTTTTAAAATATCCTTCATTAATTTTCTCTTATCATCCCAATTGGTGTTTTGATAAAAGAAACACTTTTTCATATATATAAAGAATTAAGATCATTTTATATTAGGACAAATTATCCTCTCTATCTTGGTTATTCATTATATTTATATCTAATGGATCTTATTTATTAATTATGAGAGCCATTAAATACACACTGATCAATGATTAAAAATAGGTATAAAATCTCTTGAGTTTTCCTAGAAAAAAACTCAATTACTCAAAGGCTTAATAGTGAATGGGACGAGCCTGCCTTCCTGGAAGCAGCGTGTCAGTGTGTGTGGTGTGGATATATATATATATATATTGTGAGTGTTTGTGTTTTGATTAATCAACTTAACTTTTTTCCGTGAAAAATAATGGCCAAAATGGTCAACTTATTGTGAAAAATAATCATCATTTTTCTGTTTGCAGGGAAGTGAATGGGACGAGTCTGCCTTCCAGGAAGCAGTTAGAAGAGTTGTTGCTGACCTGATACAATGGCAACTGGACCAATAGTTATCATCCACATCAGCAGTTATCTTTAATTTATGATGCGTCGGCACTGCTTGATATCGTCTAGCTCTCATATTAATGCGCTTTGATTAACACATGATTCAATTTTAATGGACGAATATGCAGTTATCAATGATATTTATGTTTGCTGACACGGAGATTAGGGTATTCATCAACCGATTCAAATCGCGATAATCGAATCGAAAAATCAATAATCAAAAAACAAAAAATCGAAAAAAAATCACAAATTTTAGTTGGATTGGATCGATTTGCGGATTGGTAGATGAAAACTGATCTAATGTATTAATTTTTTTCTACTTACTTGGGTCTTTCTCCAATCATAGCCCAAAATTTTCTAAACACAAGACTCATTAACCCATCAACTAAACCCAAGAAAAAATCTAGTCACATCTCATTAATAAAATTTTATTTATGTAGAGCTTCATATCTCATTGTCCACAAAAAAAAACTATATTATCGTTTATTGATACTTTTCTATTTAAAAAAAAATTACAAAGCCAATATATGCAAAAGATGTTATTTGCACAATAATCATAAAATAAATTTTAGAGTTTTCAAAAAACCGAAAACCTATCTAATTCAGACCGAAAAAATTAGATTGGATCGGATTTGAAAAAAAAATCAAACTAAATCGATGATTACATGATCAAACCGAAGAGATTGGATCGGATGATTTTTGCTTCTAAAACCGATCTAATCCAGATCGCGAACATCCCTAATGGAGACGTTAAAATTTATTTTTTAATTAATTTAAGTACGATTTTATATTACTTTTATTAGATAATTTAGATATGATATTTATTATTAGGCAACATAATTTTTTTCTTAATAAAAAATATTTGATAAATTTTAAAACAAATGTGTTAATGGATTTTTTTATTTATATTCATGTGCCACAACTGTACATGATTATTCATTGCAAATCATTTTGGATTTGTTAGGATGCTTAGAGTTAAAATTTTACATTTTCCATACTATATTTCTAATTATATGCCATCAATAGAGATTGCAATTCAACTACTTTTCTTATCATTTTTGTGTTTGTGTGCTCTATCTATATTTCAAAGTTAAATGTATAAATGAAGGGTAATATTTTTCTTATATTATATAAAGAAAGTATTTTTTTATACTCACATTTTTTAAATGAGTTCCATTAAAAAAAATTCTTTCACTTTCAACTTATTTTCTCTCTTGTTTATTATTTGAATAAAAATAATATTTTTTATGCAACATAATAAAAATAGCGAAAAGTGAGTGTCATTTTAAAAGATGTAAAGTTGGGTCATTTTAAGAGGGAGAAAGAAATAGATAAAGGAAGAGAGAGAGTTGAAAAAAAATAAAGATGTGGATCTCACCTCTTTGTGAGAATGAAATAATATAAATTGTGTCATTTAAAAAGACAAATACTTTTCTCATAAAAATATTATCCATAAATGAATTTTCTGTGTTGCCTACATTGACGCCAATTATGGAAGGGCGATGACCAGCACCCCTCTTACAAAGAAAAAAGGTTGACTTTTGTTATCAAAAAAAAAAAAAAGATTGACTTCAGAACACAGTATAATGACGGAAAAATAATGGGATTTATTCTTTTAAGATGTGGACGCCTTTTAATAATTTCTTTTTTTGGTGAACGACGCCTTTTAATAATTAATTGTTAAGAGGCGGGACTAAGATTAAGGAATTTTATTTTTCATCTCAATTATTAATTTTCATATATCTAATAATTATAATTTATTGAATATAATTCATCAATTAATTTTTTTTCTTTTTATTTTTCTTTTTTTGAAAATTTCTTATAATTTATAACCAAGTAATTGTTCAGATTTGAAATAAATTTTTTTAATTTTTTCAACCCAGCAAAAGCCAACATCCATAGAGTAGCGGTTTGGATTCGGCTGCCAGGCATTTCGCAGGAATTTTGTGAGTATCCCTTTCTTCTTCATCTTGGTAATGTTGTAGGGAGAGTGCTCAAAGTTGACAAAACTACCTTTACTGGAGATAGAGGTACGTTTGCAAGATTATGTGTGGATCTGGACCTTTCAAAGCCTTTGAGAGGTGAATACTATATAGAGGATGATCTGTATAGAGTGGAATATGAAGGGCTTTTCTTAATTTGTCTAAAATGTGGCCGTTATGGCCATAATATTGAGTCTTGTCTTGAATTACTTAAACAGAACCCCAATGCTACCACCCCTGGTACAGCTGAGAAGGAGGCATGGTCTCAAACCCTGTGCAAGGCCTTGGTCCTTGGATGGTTGTCCAAAGGAAAAAGAAAGCTCACTCTCCGGCAGGCCAAAAAGATAACTCGGATCCAAGAAATTTTGGCATAAATTTATCCAATAAATCTCCTTCGATGAAAGCCACAACTGATATTGGTAAGGAGAATGGGAAAAAGCCTCTGAACCCTTCCCTAGTCAGAGGGCCTGCTGCTAAGAGCATTATCTCTAACAAAGAGAATCTGATGAGTTCTCAACAGAATCATCAAGCCTCTTCTAGTAAAAAGTATGTTCCCATTGTGCATGGGAATGGTATAAAGAAGAGAGGTCAAAAGGATCAGTCTATGAGTAAGGTGGATCCTCCTTCCACTTCTACTTTTATATTTACAGCAGATGTTGCTAATGAAAGTAAGCCTGATTGTTCAAAGCCTAATGCTACTCAGAAAGTTGATAATAGGAAGGAACCCCTGCCTCTGGCTAAGTCAAAGAATGCTACCTCCTCTGATGAGCCCATGCCGAACCATGAGGAAGCTAGGAAGGGGGATTCTTTCTCTGTAGTCTCCAAAACCAATAGACTTCATCAGATGGAGGTTGAATACAAAACTGATCCACCTGATGAAGCTATGGAAAATAGTGCAGAAGCTTGTTGTCCGAAGAAAATTGTGATCATGGGGGAAGCCAATAGTGGGAATGTCCCTGAAAAGATGGATGAAAGTCACTAGGAACTTAGCAATCCTAGACCCCCAAATCTTGTCCAATGAACTGCCTAGTATGGAATTGTAGGGGTGCAGCTAAGAAAGCCTTTAAAACCACCCTGTGTAATTTCATCAAGAGGTATAAAGTTGGGTTAGTTGCAATTTTAGAACCCAGAATAAGTGGTGTGGCAGCCCTGAAAAAAATAAAACAGCTTGGTTTTAAGAATTACTTGATAGAAGATGCAGTGGGTTTTGCAGGAGGTATTTGGATTCTTTGGAAAAGTGATTGGTGCTCTATCACTCTTCTAGAGAAAAGTAATCAAATGATCCATTGCTTTGTTTCTTGCACTACTGGTGAAGTCTTTTATCTTTCGATTATTTATGCTAATCCTAAAGAGGATGTTCGATAAACCCTCTGGATGGATATGGTAAGAATAAGAAGGAATATTATTGGTCCCTGGGTTATGATGGGGGACTTTAATGAGATTGCGTCTTCAAGAGAGAGAAAAAAGGGTGCTCTTGTGAATTTGGTTAGGTGTAACAAGTTTGCTAACATTTTGAATGATTGCAATGTGCTGGATTTGGGGTGTCTGGGCTCTAACTTTACCTGAAGAGGCTCGAAATGGCTGCAGTTAGATAGAGTTTTTAAAAGACTTGATCGTGTATGTGCCAACGCTGAATGGAGAACAACTTTTGATGAAGCCTCTATCAAAGCTCTTCGTAGGCTAAATTCTGACCATAATCCTCTCATTTTAGCTTTGGAGCCGCAAGATAAGTCTTGGAGGGAGAGGCCTTTCAAGTTTCTGGTTGCGTGGCAAGAGCACGTGGATTTCCCTTCTTTCCTTCTTAATACTTGGTGCCCCCATTCTCAGGTTAACTCTTGTCTGACCAAGCTTGTTGAGCCCATTAAAAGATGAAATAAACAGGTCTTTGGCAATATTCAGGGGAGAAAAGAATTTTTGATTAATAAGCCGCAACAGGTCCAATTTAGTCAAAGTCAGTCCACTGATGAATCTCTTCATGATGTGGAAAGGAGAATCCATACAGAGATCAATTGGGTTCTTGAACAAGAAGAGGCTCTTTGGTTTCAAAAAGCTAGATGTAAATGGATTGAAGATGGGGACCGTAATACTAAATTCTACCATACTTCTACTATAATTAGAAGGGCCAGAAATAGAATTGTGGAACTAAAAAATGATGAGGGGCATTTCATTAGAGAGGAAAATAACTTGATGAAGTTAATTCTGAATTCTTATTCCACTCTATTCACTGAAGATGTCCCAGATAGACGTTGGCATAGTACTAATAATTCCTGGCCTGAAATTAGTGAATCTGATTTCCTAGTTCTGAACAGGAAAATCTATAACAGGGATATTAAGGATGCCTATTTTGATATGGGAGCTTTAAAAGCCCCTGGTCCTGATGGGTTCCCGGCCTTATTTTTTCAGAAAATTGGGATATTGTGGCTAACCAGACTTATGACTTAGTGAAGCGGTTTTGGTCTAGTCCAGAAGGCTTGAAGGAGATAAACAAGACTTTATTGGTGCTGATTCCAAAGCTAAACAAACCAGAAAGAATAGCTCAATTCAGACCAATAGCTCTGTGCTCTGTGTTATATAAGGGAATCAGTAAATTAATTGTCAGTAAGCTCAAACCTCTGCTCTAGTAACTCATTTCTCCTCATCAAGTCAGCTTTGTTCCTAAAAGAAACATCCAGGATAACATTGTGATAGCTCAAGAAATGGTTCATTCTATGAGTAGAATGAGATGTGATAGGGGTTTTCTTGCAATCAAGATTGATTTGGAAAAAGCTTACGACCGTATATCGTGGAGCTTTATTCATCAAGTGCTGTTGGAAATTAAACTTCCTACTCATCTGATTAATTTAATCATGCAATGTATATCTTCAACCGAGCTAGATGTTCTCTGGAATGGTGCTAAAGCGGGCTCGATTACTCCTAGTAGGGGTCTCCAGCAAGGGGATCCTATTTCCCCTTATATTTTTGTCTTATGCATGGAAAAACTATCAGACATTATAGCTGATGTAGTGGATAAAAAAGCTTGTCCGATTTGTAACTGCTTGTGGTTTTGGAGGAATGCTACAGCCCATGAAGCTGATTTTAAAAGGCCAAGTAACCTTGCTGATTACATCCGAAACTGTCTAGATGAATACATTTCATCTAGAAACCATAAAACTTGTAGAGCTATCTTCCATCCAACATTGTCTTCTGCCTCCTTTTGGTCCTGCCCTTCGCAAGGTTCGATTAAACTCAACATTGACGGGGCTATACAAGGAGATAGGGCAGCTTGTGGTGGTCTATCAGAGACTCCAACGGCACCTGGCTAGGTGGTTTTTCTTTTTTCTTGGGGTCTTACTCTCCTTTGCTGGCAGAAATTTGGGCTATTTTTCATGGTCTTACTTTTGCTTGGGACAAAGGTTGGAGAAAGGTTGAAGTGGAGACTAACTCCTTATAAGCTTTATGCTCTCTTACCATATCTGGTAATAATTCCCGTAAGCTTCCTTTGGTAGCTAAGATCCGGGGTTTACTTCATAAAGACTAGTCCGCTGATTTTTCTCATTTTCCTAGATCATCCAATAAGTGTGCTGATTGGATGGCTAAGGAAGCTCTCAATAATTGTTTTGGTCTCACTGTTTATGTTTCCCCTGATCAGAGATTGCTTCCTTTGCTAGCAACGGGCATTTTGGATCCTGGAGAAGACTTGGGACTGATTTAGTGTTTTCTCTTAGTCTTCTTTTTGCTGTTTTTTGATGGTTTGTTTTTAGTTCTCTGTTTTTCTATTTTGCTCTGGGGTTGTAGCCCCTTTGATGTACCCAAAAAAAAATCGTTTCCTAATTATTAATATTTTTTCCAGTATCACACTTATTTAGATTTCAAATATAATTATAATAGACTAATTTTATATTTATATACTTTAATTAAATAGAATATGTAATTTGATATTGACTATTAAATATTGAATCTAAGATGGTCAGATTAAGCTATAAATGACTTATTATCCTTAAATCATGCTATATAGTGAGAAAACTTCCTCTAAAATGTCAATATTTTCTTAAAAATAATGGCATAAAAGAATCTGCCAAAATGATGAGTCTCTAAATAACAACCCACAGTGGGTTTGGTGATTTTAATTCATCTATTACTGTTAGTACTTCAATTCCATTGCTAAGGTTAAGATGCGTATTCTACCTTATATAACTTTTATATTGAGAGAATTCGTTTTTTTTTTTTCTCCTTTTGTGGATAGAAATTTCGTTTTGTTAGCTGAATTTTCTTTGTGGAAAATCGGTAGGTAACTTTTGAGGCAGCGGCTTTGACCCTCGATCTCAAGGAAGAGGTTCAAAGCATTCAACAAAATTTCAGACTGTTTTCGATTTCGGTTTTCTTTTTTACATTTCAAAGATCTGCACCTAATCCGTAGAATATTAGGAAAGTTGTGGCCACAATTTGTTTATAGTCCTTTTTTTCCCAGGAATTCTTTAAAAAATATATATAATTATGTATTACGAGTAGTATATAGTTATAACAAATATAAAAAAAAAATATTATAATTATATATTACTGTAGTACATAACTATTATTTTTTTCAAAAATTCCTAACTATATATTACTTGTAATATATAATTATTTTTTGTTACAGAAATTCATGTAACATGAGAATTTTTTTTGCTTTGTTTTGTTTATAGGCTTTTAAGTCTCTAAATTATGGGACTGACTATTTTTTAAAAAAAAATAAAATATATTAACACAGTTTTCAATGTGTGCATGAAGCAATTAATTTCTGGTGCAACATGAGAAACTAATTGTTCTTTGCTTATTACAAAGAGAAACAAACAAGTTTTATTATCGAAAAATGTAATTGAATCATTTTAGGATTTATATAAAGGAAAAATATTTGTCCAATGGCACAATTTGTGTCATTTTACTCTCACAAAGAGGTGAAACCCACTTTTTTATATTTTTTTGTCCACTATCTCTCCTCCTTTATCTATTTCTTTCTCTCACTTAAAATGATACAACTTTACATATTTTATAATGATATACACTTTTCCCTTTATATATGCAAGAAAAAATGAGGATCAGAACTATCCACTAGTTGCAAAGAAAAAAAAAAAGTAAAATGAGTTAAGATATATCTACTTTTAATTTAATTTAAAAATATCATAATATTAATTTAATAAAATTAAAGAATAAGTGCACTCTTACATAATTATTTTTAAAAGCATATCCATTTTAAAGATAAATACACTCTTCCTAAGACAAAAGTAAACGTTTAAAGATAAATGTGTAATATGAGGTGAAATGAATTTCAAAAATGTATTATAAATTAATGAACGGCAAATGATTTTTGCAGCGCAGAAATCATTTATGCTGCCTCAGACACAAAATATTTGTATCTTGAGGTAGACAAATGGTTTCTACCTCAACAGAAATCATTTGTCTATATGAATGAACTAGTCATGTAGACAATTTTTCACCTTGTATCATAACTTTTTGATATGTATTTTGAACTTTTAGTATGGTAGATTAGCTCTCTTTCCCTCAAGAAGTTTAATATGTCAATATAACAGTGAGATATGAATATAAGCTCAACGGACAAAGTAACAACAAAGAGAATGAGGATACAAAATATGCCTTTTTAATGGAGAAGATGAGACTTTATAGATAGATATGATTTCCAAATGATGAGAGATGGTCATAACCATGGTAGTTAAATTAAAATTTTACCTAAAATCGGAAGAAGGATAAAAAATCATAAAACGTAAAATCTTAACGTAAAAAAAATCGTAAAATCATAAAAACGTTTGGAATTTTGATAAAATCGTTTTGATTGAAAAAAAAAAATCATAAAATCATAAAATCGTAGATTTAAATCGAAATTTTAACTACCATGGTCATAACTATTTTTGCCCTTGTAAGCTTCATTAAGGGTGAAACAAATATATTCATCTGATTCATAAGGTGTGTGTAGAAAAGTGAAACTAGATATAATAAAATAATATTTGTTTCACTTTAGGAATATAATAACAATAAATAAACCTATGTGGCTGGTTTATATTATATTATATATATATATATATATATATATATATATATATATATATAGGAAAAACATTTTCTACTAGTGTAGAAAAAAAATGTTTCCCTTCCTGTTGATAGATCGAAACTTGTGTCATCTTATTTTATTTTATTTTTGAAAAAAATGGTGGGACTCGTTTATTTTTGTATCTGCAGGGACCATGACTTACTATCAGCAACATAAAAAAAATAATGACGATATATATTGAATTTGATTATTTTAATCTAGGAGATATTTTTTTAGTTTCCCAAAATATCCTCCACTTGATACACATTCTTAACAGATCTGAATCCCATATATTCAATTAACACACGTTAATTGCACCTTTCATTTTAGAGGAGTCAAATACATAACTTATTAAAAGTTATAATTCTTGTATTATTAAATTTATTCTAAAATTTGCATGGGATTATCCCACATAATTTCGCATAAAAGAATATTAGTATTGAAGAATAAGGTTTCTTAAAGGGGCCCGATATGCTAAGTTTCAATAAACAAATAAAAAACACAATGCAGTTCCCTTTGAACACCTCTCTAAATTTATACTATGTATCTTATACAAAAAAAATGCTGATACACACATATATACAAGGATTGTTCGTGACCAATTATATAGGAATTGAAGTGAAAAAAATCAGGTCCCAAAACGGAAAGGTGACAGGCGAGGGCAGGGCATTGTGTCTCAGCAAAATATTTTCAGTATTTTGGACATATTGACCATTCAGTAGATCCTTTATTAAATATAAAAAATAATAATATATTAATACTACTCTTACCTTTATAATTATTATTTTTTATATGCTTTGCTTTTTGGTAAGGAACTACTACTCCTGTTACATTCGCAACGTGGTAGTGTCTCGGGCTCCCAGCTTCATTTGTCATTGCATAATTTTTCAAAGTTTATCTTCGACAGGTAAGATCAGAAGGTGACGTGACCAAGACTTAAAACAACCCTCTTAGAGGCAATTATTTGGACATTACCTATAACGGATTAACTAAACTGACAAGCAAAATCTGATTTTGTCATTAATTCTATTCTTTAATTTTTTTTTTATTATTAATTTATATAACAATTTTTGTAAAGAAAAAAAAAATTTAATGTATATAAATTTATTCATCAAATAAAAAGCAGAGAGAGAGAAAGAAAGAAATGAACTTATTAGAGACTGGTTTTTATTATATTTATAAGGGAAAAGTGTTTGTCATTTTAAGTGACAGAAAGTTATGTCATTTTAAGAGAGATATAGACACAGAAAATTTAAATTTTAAATTAAAAAAAATCACCTACTTTCTCTCTCCCATGATTTTCATTTTTTCATGTTTATCTCTCTCTTAAAATGACAACTTATGTCATTTAAAATGACAAACACCACCAAATGGTGGTAGCTCAGTTGGCGCATAGGAGCTGAGCAGGTGGGGATGAGGGCATGTGTTCGAACCTCCCCAATACCACCTTTGGAAGGGATTTAAAGTCTTAATCCTAGACCCGCCCCGAATCGGACTAATCGCGAAGCGATGAACCGATGGAATATTTCCAAAAAAAATGACAAACACCAAACCCTATTTATAATTACCTAAATAAATTATTTTTTATATGTCATAAATTTTCTGATAAATTTTTGCGTAAGAAAAAACCATAAACTTTTTTATGTACTTGTAATTTTTAAATTTATAAAATAATTTTTTTTTTATATTCTTATTTAACGAGAATAGTCAAATTCTTTCTTATTATTTTATTTGAATCAGACTTTCAAAAGGTTCCGGTATCACGGTTGATAAAGTGCCAATATAACGAAGTCAGCACATGGCTTGCTATCAAGGAAAAACCTTCGTCTCTTCCCTGTAATTAAATGCACAAAGTCCATGCTATATATTAAAGTCGTGCTTCATAAATAACTTTCGTATGTGGGTTGAATATTAGAAACATTGGCTGGGTTTCGTAACGAAGAATATTCTTTTGAATAAAAATAAGAATACAATGTGATTGAAGCGTCAAGACATTTAGGGGGCGTTTGGTTGAAGATAAATTTTAAGAATACTAGAGAAATATAATTATTAGGTATCCATAAAAAAAGTTGAATAGATAGGGAAGTTAAAAAAAAGTAGTTTGGTTTGACAAAATTTTCCCAGGGAAATATATGACAAAAAATGTGTCAACAGTGCTTTACCCAGGTTTTCTCAAAAAACCACCCTCAAATCCGGTTTCTAAACAATGCAAATTCCTATCTTTCTCAAAAAGCTATGCATTTTACATGAATAAGTTTTGGTCAAAAGCTGTTGAAACAAACATTGGTTTTCTAAAAACCAAACTTCATTTGCCTAAAAAACTATTGAAAAGAATGGAACCAAACACCAAACTGTCGAAGTAATGAATAGATATTTGGCAAGAACCATCTTAGTAATAAATAAGCAAACTGAAGCAAATTAAGCCATAACGGGATAATGCCTATTCGTTCGATATGTGTAGCTATAAATCAAATCAACTCCTTTTGGCGATAGCAACAGGTACTATTTTTAAGAAGACTCTAGTATAGGTGAAGTTTCTGGTCTCTAAGAATGGAAGTTTCAAGTTTGACTATCTGACGCTCCGATTACAAGCTTCACTCACTCAAAATGCCAGAGCTGAAACCTTGATATTTAACGGTGAACACGAACCAAATATGCCATAACTAAGGGGAATTTTTTATATGCCAAAAGTTATTATGGAAATTTTATTTTTCTCAGATGTTTAAATAAAAAGAGTATAAAAGAAATATGAAAAAAATGTTTGACCTTTTAAATGATAAAATTTGTATCATTTCACTTTCACAAAAAGGTGAGACCCACGCATTTATTTTTTTTGTCCACTTTTTCTTTCCCATAATTTATCTCCTTCTCTGATTTAATATAACACAACTTTATATCCTTTTTAAAATGACACACACTTCTCCCAAAAAATATATATAGAAACAAAGATATCAAATGAGAAACATATGCACCATTATACAAATTGCATAGCAAAATCCTTACAAATAATTGGTGATGACTCAACTCTGGAGTAATGATGACCTTGATTCCTAACCAGTTAGTCCTGTCCTTTCTTACCTTACATGTCCCATATGACTCGGCCTGTATAAAATGACCAAAAAAAAAAAACTCAATTTACAGGTGGTAAAGTAACTTGAACATTTGACCGCAAGCAAGAATGATGAGATTCCAAACCAGAAGTATTCGAGGCATCTTTCGCTTTTTAGGACCTTCTTCATTTGAGTGGACCATTTTATGGCCAATTCATCAGGCCATAGGCCATAGCATACATAAATCACATGGGTCCATATTGAGCCAGGGAAAATAGAGTTAGCCATGCATTCACAAAATCATGCTTCTACAACAGCTGCGGCTTCTTCGTCAGTAGAATCAAGGGTGGCAATTTCTTCCGTAACATCTCCATTAATTACATCTGACTCTGGCACCTTTTCTGTCTCAGCATTGAGAAGCTTCTCCCTGAGCTTCATTTCTAGTTCTTCTAATGCACTAAAATTCTCAGCCAGGAAATTCTTAAGGGCATCCTTACCGCGGAAATTTTGTTCGTTATAGTAATACATTGCACCAGCCTTTGTGATCAGTTTGTGTTTTACGCTCAACTCTATAATCTCTGCTTCTCTACATATACCCTTTCCAAATTCAAGCTCGAATGTAGCAGTTCTAAATGGAGGGGCAAGCTTGTTCTTCACAACCTTGACAAGAACTTGGCTTCCTAAAATCTGTATAAATAAAAATCCATAAACGATAAATATTCATATCAGAAATTAGACCTAATGAATTCAATGAAATCTTAAGACCCCAAATATTGCACAAGGAGAGATCAAATATAAAAGATCAAGAGCAGGGGGAAAAGAGAGAGAGAGAGAGATCCAAGATGGAAAGGGAAAAGCTTAACCCCTAACAGATATCCATCACAATCCAAAGTAGGGACTGCATGGATAGTACTAAAAAGATGTTCAATGCATTTAGTATTTTACAGTTGACAACTTCTTCCACAATAGAAAGGGTATATGTCACCCAACTAGTTTAGCCAAAAGAATTGATGACAAAGAGTTGAAAAAAGAGATAGTCTTATTGATAAAATTGTTTGTTACATCTGTACAATTGCTCTCTATTTAAAGAGACTAAATAACCTAATGGGCTAAGCCCAAAGAAGATTCTAGAATGAAAATAAATAAACAAATACTATTATTTACAACACTCCCCCCTCAAGCTGAGGAATAGATATTTATCATTCCCAGCTTGCAAGTAAGCTCTTGAAACCTTTCTGAGGGAAGTCCTTTTGTTAGAATATCAGCTAATTGACGTCCAGAAGAGATGTATGGAGTGGTGATCAACTCACTATCAAGCTTCTCTTTGATAAAATGGCGGTCGACCTCAATGTGCTTAGTCCGATCATGTTGAACTGGATTATGAGCTATACAAATAGCGGACTTATTATCACAAAACAACTTCATAGGTCCTTCACATCTTATTTTAAGATCACAAAGTATAATTTTCATCCACAATAATTCACAAACGCCTTGAGCCATAGCTCGAAATTCAGCCTCAGCACTCGATCTAGCAACCACGTCCTGCTTCTTACTCCTCCATGTCACCAGGTTACCACAAAGAAACATACAATAACCAGTGGTAGATCGACGATCAGTTACGGATCCAACATAATCAGCATCGTGTTTATCAACTGCCTACATGTGTTTAAGATATTGAAGAATTCTCTCCACTGCCTGCATGTGTTTTTCTTTTGGATTATGCATAAACTGACTTACAATACTGACAACATAAGCAATATCTAGTCTAGTATGAGCCAAATATATCAGTCTCCCAACTAACCGTTGATATTGTCCTTTATCAACTGGAGAACTCTCCTCTTCATAACCTATCGTGATTCTGCTCAATAGGAGTACTAGCGAGTTTACACCCAAATTTTCCCGCTTCTTTAAGAAGATCAAGGACATATTTTCTCTGGCTGATAAAAATTCCTTCCTTTGAATGAGCTACCTCTATCCCTAGGAAATATTTCAATCTCCCAAGATCTTTAATTTCAAACTCAGAGGCTAGCCGTGCTTGTAGAAAATGTTTCTCCGCAATATCATCACCTGTTATAATAATATCATCAACATATACAAGGAGTACAGTTAGCTTCCCATTTTGGGAGTGCTTGAAGAATAATGTGTGATCTCCTTGACTCTGTTTATATCCTAAGGCCAGCATAACCTCAGTAAATCTCTCAAACCAGGCACGAGGAGACTGTTTCAATCCATACAAGGCCTTTTTTAACCTGCAAACTTTATTTCCTCCATCCATAGAGCCAAAGCCAGGTGGGATTTCCATGTAGACTTCTTCTTCTAACTCACCATTAAGGAAAGCATTCTTCACATCAAATTGATTCATATCCCAGTTGTAATGGGCAGCAAGGGACAACAAAGCTCTCACAGTATTCATCTTTGCAACTGGGGCAAAAGTTTCTTCATAATCAATGTCATAGGTCTGAGTGTAACCCTTGGCAACTAATTGAGCCTTATATCTCTCAAGAGTACAATCAGAATTCTATTTCAAGGCGTAAACCCATCTGCACCCTACTGTTTTCTTTCTATCAGGTCTATCAATAACCTCTCATGTTTTATTTTTCTCCAAAGCATTCATCTCATCTTGCATGGCTCGAGCCCAATTCTCATCTTTTAATGCTTCATGTACTGATTTTGGGATTGAGATAGAATCTAGTGCTGAAATAAAGCTTTTGTGCTGCACAGAAAGGTTAGTAGAAGAGACAAAATGAGAGATAGGGTGTTAGGTACAAAATCTTTTCCTTTTTCTTAGGGCAATAAGTAAGTCATCAGAGGTATTGGGTAAGCTATCAGAAGCAACAGGCAAATCATTAGATGAAACAATATTAGGTTCAGAAACAGGAGAAGTAATAATATTAGAATCAGAAACAAGAGATTCAAGACTTACCAGTGGTTCAGACGATTGAGATTGCTGGTGAAGTAGTGTGGGCTGCTTTCTCCTGTGATATACCAACTCAGGTGTCACAATCCTCCGTATTTTCGGTGTATCAGATGGGTCAGACACAAAAGAATCAGAAACAGGAGGAAGAGGTGTAGGAGAAGGCATGGAAAGTTCAGACTCAAAGATAGAAGGTGATGAATCTACTGAAGAACTGTTCTCACCCTGAAGATGAGGACTTGGGAAAAAAGACTCAGATTCATGAAATGTGACATCTATTGAGACAAAGAATTTTCGACTAGCAAGATGATAACACTTGTAGCCTTTCTTATCAGAGGCATAACCAAGGAAGATACATTTGAGAGCCCTAGGATCCAACTTACTGCGAAGATGTTTATGAACGTGGACAAAGACAACACACCCAAACACTCGTGGCTGAAGACTCTGCATAGAGGGAACAGAGGGAAAAAATGAAGTCATTGAGTGAATAGGATTTACATTGTCAAGGACCCGAGAGGGCAAGCGGTTGATTAAGAAAGCTGCAGTAAGAATGGCATCTCCCCAGTAGCATTTGGGTACATGATTCTAAAAAGTAAAGCACGAGCAACTTCAAGAAGATGACGATTCTTTCTCTCACCAACTCCATTTTGTTGAGGTGTCCACACAAGTAAGTTCATGAATCATCCCTGATCTTGGATGAATTTGGAAAGACACTGATTCACATATTCGGTACCATTGTCAGACCTTAGTCTTTTAATTCTTTTTCCAAATTGGGTCTCAATCATTTTATAAAATCGAAAGAATAACTGTGGTATCTCAGATTTTTCATGCATTAAATAAACCCAAGTTACACGAGTGCAATCATCAATGAAAGAAACAAACCATTTATTACCAGAAGCACGAGGAACTTTAGAAGGACCCCAAACATTAGAATGAACAAGATCAAAAGGCTCAACACTTTTAATGGTACAAGAAGGAAAAGAGACACGATGGTGTTTAACAAACTCACAAACATCACAATGAAAACACTCAATAGACTTAGACAAAAATAATGATGGAAATAAAGACTTAAGCAAACGAAATGGAGGATGCCCCAAGCGTTTATGATGGAGTCAAATCAAAGAGTCGGCAGTAGACTGAGACTGAGTCAACAAGGTGTGATCTTTAGCATACTTTGCAGAAGATTCTGGCACCAGATAGTACAGCCCACCTTGCTCTTTAGCACCCCCAATCGTCTTCCCCGTGACGAGATCCTGAAAAACGCAACGAGTAGGGAAGAAAGTTACAGTGCAATTCAAATCTTTGGTAATTTTATGGATAGAAAGAAGATTAGTGGAGAGTTTGGGAACATAAAGAACATTTTGGAGATGTAAGGAAGGCTGTAAATATATGTTACCGGAACCCGCAACTGATGTATGTGAGCCATCAGCTACAGCTATTGTATGAGTGCCAATAGTAGGGTTATAAGAATGAAAGGAGTCAGCACGACAAGCCATATGATCAGTAGCGCCAGAATCAATAATCCAAGAATGTTTAAAATCAGTACAAGAAGAAAGAAAAGAATGAACAGTGGAGCTCATACCAGTCATGGCCAAAGCCCTAGTATTAGATGGCTTACTCAGAAAATCAAGCATAGTACGAATCTGCTCCAACTCATCTCGGCGAATAGAAATAAATTCCGAAGATGCACCATTTGAACCAGCCATAATATTGAGGTGAAAATCACACAAACGCAAATCCAAATGATGTCTGACCGAAGAGAAAAACACAGATCTGGAAAGAGGAGACAAAACCAAGTAGGAAAAGTTTTTTTTTTTGCGTGAACAGTTACCGGTGAACAGTAGCGATGAACAGTGCGCGTGAACAATTTTTTTTTTTTGGAGCTGTTCCGGTCGTCTGATTAAAAAGAAACCTCCGTAGAATGATAGATCTAAGAAAACAGAGTAAAACAGGGGTCCTCACGGTCCAAAAGGTCCCCGGAAATTTTTTTCCAGTGGCGGCGAGAGGCAAATAGGGTTTGGTTTTTAAAGGCGGTGATTTGCAGAAGTAGAGCCCTCAGAATCGAGAGCTCTGATACCAAGTTGAAAAAAGAGATAGTCTTATTGATAAAATTGTTTGTTACATCTGTACAATTGCTCTCTATTTAAAGAGACTAAATAACCTACTGGGCTAAGCCCAAAGAAGATTCTAGAATGAAAATAAATAAACAAATACTATTATTTACAACACAAAGGCCTTCCCCAAAAATTTACAACATTGATCTCAAATGAATAATTTTGGTATCTTTTCTCTTTTTATAGTCTATATACTCCATACTAAACACCAAAAGCTATTTTACTGCAGGACATGGAATACATTGATTATGAAAGATTATAGATATATTCTTTTTATACAATGATAACACTGGAGTTTGAACCTATAACCTCATGCAAATAATCCAAACCTCTCACCACTAGCTTACTCCTAGTGGCTTAAAAATTAGAGAGATTTTAAACAAGGAGCAAGCAAGCAAATTCAATTAATTTATGCTCTCCTGTTTCATAATGCATGGATCAGAACAGTTAGTAAATTATTAGGATTGCAGTAAGTTCATTTGTGGTTATATTCTTACTTATTCATGCAAATTTTTTGAGAAGTCTAGGTACCATAAGAGGATATCACTGAGTTCAAAAGGTTGACATCCAAACCACTCATTTGTCCAAAACATATCAACCAGATGAAGCAACTTGGAGTATAGATTAAAATAGAAAGCCTAGTTCAGAACAGAACATTGCTGATTCCAGCAGACTGAGTTCACATATTATGCTTTTTTTAAACAATAACATTTGAACAGGCTTGCCAATACAGGCAGGAAGCATGGCAGCAGAAGAATTAATAAATGATTACCTCTTCACCCTTCTTGACAAACCCTATTCTCTTGATATTTAGCCGCACAGAAGCATAGAATTTCAATGCATTACCACCACAAGTGACTTCAGTGGGCCCACCGAAACCCCCAAAAGTAGTAAGCTTTGATCTCACCTGAAGAAACATACAAAAGAACTCTCATTAAAAGACAAGCACATCCCTCTGGTAAATTGAATAAAAGTACTCATACCCAAACAAGAATATATATAGGGGATATAGTTTCTCATGTTGCATGCGACAATTTGTCCCATGCAACACACAAAAAAGTGGGTGGAACCCACCTAGGAGAAGAGAGAGAAAGAAAATAAGTGGGTGTCATCTACTTTTTAGTGTGTTGTATAAGATAAATTGTCTCATACAACATGAGAAACTATATTCCCACATATATATCCCCATGAAATCCCAACTTTATATGCAGCCTTACTCTGCATTTTTTGCAAAGAGGTTGCTTCCTATATTCAAGCTAGTGACGTTGGAGCAACTTTACCACTGCTCCAGGCTTGCCTTCTTGGCAAGTCATTAAATATAAAAAAAACAGTAAAAGATAATATCATCCAACTCATTAACATTCCTTAGGATCAAACAACTAGTTCAAAAGCACATACAATCAAATCTAGGCCTGGCAGGGCAAGCACAACTTGCCATAAGTTTACAAAATAGGTTCACTGGTACATGGCAGACTAATGCATGGGCATGGCCAATAGATAATTACAATATCTAATCAAATTAGATAATCTGAAAAGCAAAAGTACATCAACACATATTCTGATATTTACACCAACAATGAACCCCAACTATTTTGTTCCTTAATATTCATAAAACATTTTTTTTTAATTTAAAAGAAGAAATAGAATGAAGAAGTTCCTGCAATCTATAACTTTTGGTATCAAAGGTTTACACAAAAGTCATGCCCTAAATTTTGCATGCATGCAGCTTACCTGCATAAAAAAGAAAGATGATTAATTGTAGCTTGTTGAAACTTAAGGGTTTAGACAAGGAAAGTGAAAAAAGATAGAAACACGGCTAACAATGTATTATAAGATTGATATTTAATAATAAGTTACTCAAATACAATAACAATCATGTATATATACTACTAATTAGATCACATGAGAATACTACTAGTACAAGCCCAAGCAAAAGCCTAATAGGCTAATACTAATAAGACTAACAACCTCAAACAATTATGATAATGGAACCGGTCTAAATGAATATAATATTGGCTCAACCAATGACTGGAAAGTGAAACAGCCTTGCTCAGCATAAGTCAATAAAACATAGTCATAGACCTAGACGAAAATGGTAGAGGGCAGACTAAGGTAAACAAAAATATCCTACACATGCTAAATTGCTCGAGTTAAAATTAAATAATATTCACAATCTGACCAAAGGAAAATTAACAACAGTGCAATGAACAACTTTTACTGATACCTGGTTTATAAAAATCAATATACTTTGAGAAAGTGACAAGGAGTGGCTCAATTTTCGAAGAGCCTGGCTCATCAACCTAGCCTGCATTGCCATGTGAGCATCACCCATCTCCCCATCAAGCTCACCTTTAGGAACAAGAGCTGCCACCTATCAATGAAAAGACAGCAAAAAGTTAGTAGACATATACCCAAACTTCTGAGATATTCAAATCAATGCAACAAGATTTAAATGACATAATATAAACATATAGAAGTAAATATTTAATAAAAGGGAGAAGTACAGGAAAAGGTCAAAGAGGAAGTCTAAAAATTATGCTCATTTTTTCCACTGTTAAATCAAACTCACAAGTCTACAAAAGAGGGTTTAAGATGAAAAAATGCAAAACATTAAAAATAATAACAATTTTATTTAAGAAATTTTAAAATTAGACCCTATGTCTAGGTTAAAAAAATATATCCCCTTTAGAACAATTTTCTAGTTTCCACATCACATATCTCATCCTCCCTTATAATCAAACAGGAACAATATAGGAAGCCAGAAATATCTCCAGCTGATAAGCATCAATAAAAACAGAATTTGATATAGGGATCCACCAACACGCATAAATCAATATATTTCTTACAACAATGAAAATCCTTTTATAGGACGAGTATTTTACAATAAATAGGTATATTTCAATGGTTATTGGCTAAAATCACGTTCTACAATAAGATATTGGATGATGAAAGTATGTCAATTCATGCACCAATTTAATAGATCCTATAAGTCTATATCGGATAAGGATATTTGTACAGCTACCAGTGTAATAATTAACAAGTTACAAAAACAACCAAGGAAAGTATTAACAGAAACAAAAGAAAAAGAGCTCCATACTTACACTGTCAACAACAATTACATCAACTGAACCACTACGTATTAAGGTATCCACAAGACTAAGTGCTTGTTCACCACAATCTGGTTGTGAGAGAAGCAAGTTCTCAGTATTCACACCAATAGACTCTGCAAGTGTCCTATCAAGAGCATGCTCAGCATCAACAAATGCACAATAGCCTGCATGAAACAAAAATATCAATGTCTGCATAGACCAACTAACTAAATCATAGTACTAAATATACAGGTCTCCTTATCTTCATTAATAATTTATTATGATTAAACTAACGGCAAATAAGCTTGAAGGATTAACATAACCTCCAAATATACTTATTTCACAAAATTTAAACCAGACACAATATACCTCTTCCTCCTCTATCAAAATAATAAGGGAAGTAAAGAACAGAACATATCCCAGTTAACAACTTGAAATCTGCTAGAAGCCTAGCACCTACAAATTGTTGGCACAGTATTGTAGCAGGAATAGAGAAAATGAGAAACCTTGAATAGAATTAAACCACCAATTTTTCACTTACAAATAATGTTAGTAAAAAGTGCATTCTAAGAAACTGAGTAATACATTCATTAAGAAGTCATAAGGGGGGAAAAATACAACCACAATATTACCTCAACCAAGCATGAGAGAGAGAGAGAGAGAGAGGGGCGGGGGGGATTAAATCAACTGATAGAGACCCACCCAAGATTAAGGGTACCGTAGAATGCGGGATTACATATGAATATTCCACAATTCGCTAAAAAGAATTCAGTTGGGGGAATTTGATTTGGCAGGAGAAATGAAGGAAAGTAGAGAGAGCATGGAAAGGGATTGGGATCTGGAATCTAGTTTGGGTCATTGGACTTGGGAGAGAGTAGAGCCTCTCCAATTGCTCTACACTGTCATATTTCCTTTCTTTCTTTCTTTCTTTCTTTCTTGTAATTTCCTTGTTTTTCCATTGTGCTGATCAGCTTTTGGCAAAAAAATTCGTTCTACCTGTATGGTTATTCAATATATCAATAATAAAAGCTTTCTGTTTCCCATCACATTTCCTTCTTTGCGAGATTATTCTGTTATTCGGTTGGGTCCTATCATAAACTGTGAGTCAGTGACTACTGTAAGAATGACAATTACTAAGGTTATGGTCACATCTATTATAGTTAAGTCCTAATACAATACATCCAAAATGCAATAGACTTTATAATTATCACTGCAAAAGTAGCATATAAAGATAACCTCCATGCTTCTGTGCCTCTGCAATCACATGTAAACCAAGAGTTGTTTTTCCAGAAGCCTCTGGACCATATATTTCCACAACACGACCCTACAACATCAAACAGTTACATCCAATAATCAGCATATTTCTATTTCCCGATGAAACATACAGTTGAGTCTCCCCTCCCTCTTATTGCAGATACATACATATATACATACGACAGAGAAAAACATTTCTGGATAATGAGGCATTGCTTGCTTTTCAGTTTCCACATGAATAATTGTAGGTATCAGCCAAAAAAAACAGGCAGAGACAATTTTTTTCATCATATCAGATGAAATTGTAGAGTGTAAATGACATAGACTTGCCCAAAGGAAATAGGCAAAATCAATGTAGAAGGAAAACAGACAAATCGGGGGACAACAAAATCTCTGTCATCAATAAAAAAAGTTCAAAGTTCATTCATATATAACAAATGAGCAAAAAACTTCTTTATGCAATGATCTAAGAATACCTTTGGAAGTCCACCAACTCCTAGTGCTATATCAAGAGCAAAAGAACCAGTAGACACAACAGGTACATGTTTAGGTGAGACAGTGCGACCAAGCCACATGATAGATCCCTTTCCAAATGCAGAAGTGATCTGATCAAGGGCTTGTTGAAGGGCCAACTCTTTCTTAGACATGTTCTCTTCACCAGAGTCACTCGCATCAGATTTAGAGCGCCTTCTACCTTCAGGTATGTAGAAATGGAAAACGTTGTCAACTTCAAATCAGTACAAACTCCAAGAAAAATTAAAAGGTGATAAGAAACTACAGCAGAATGATCTGAACCACGCATTATTTACTACAAATATGTTATTGAAATCAGTATGACATCAATAACAGAGGTAAACATGTACAGAAACTGGTATAACTCTCTCTGAACAAGAAAATACAAATACAGCAGGCAATTCAAGTCCTTGTTCTCTCCCCCCCTTTCCAAACTCACTTCTTTCCTCCTTTTCTCTTCCCACTCTTCCTATTTTCAGTCCTCGCTTTCCTTCCTAACCATCTAACCAGTTCCCTTCCTGATTTCTCTCCTATCCTGCCACATGAGCACAAGGCTACATAGCTGTCCCATGTTATTTTCCCATCCTCTCTTGCTACTTCCCACGTGATCCTCCCCAATCCCGTTACTCATCCCGTTCCTACTTATTTGCACCTTAGCCAACATTAGGGTTCCTAACAAAAGGGGAGACTGAGAAAACTGTTGCAGAAAGAAAAAACAGAGACCCCGAGTTCATTTGTGCTTACTATAATTCAAATACACAAAAATATGCAAAAAAAACATTTTTAATTTTTTGTTCTGGTTTGGTTCAACACATGAATACATCAATTCAGATGTCAAAATTAAGGAGAATAATTCATGCCCTAGGACATTATATCTTTACAAATTTCCAGTATCCCGTATCATGTAGAGAAAAATCACTGTTAGGACTCACCAAAAGCACCTTGGGCTAAACTGGACAGTGAGCCAAACCCCAACTCCTGATTATCATAATTTCTTTCCGATATAAATTAACCCAAAGGTGGAAACTTGTTTTCAAATTTCAACTCCTACCACGTGATGAAAGATATAATAATCTTTTTTGCATGCTGATTTGCATACATAACCTTTCAATATAAACTAATTCCTTCAAATTATTATCTTTTGGCTTCAGATAAAGGGGAGGGAAGAAAGCAAGAAAGTTTCCAAAAAAAAATACCTTTAGATGAAAAGCTCAAAATCTGAGAAGTGCCGAATATTCCTAGTTTAAAGCCCTGTAAATGAAAGCAAGAAATAGGTAAATAAATTACTGATTATGCACCAATATCAGTATCGGAAACTAAAAGAAAAAGAAGAAGCAAAAAGAGAGTGGAAAATGGTTATATATTTATCCATATTCCATGACCATCAGGCCCATGCTTAACTCAAATGTGACAGAGAACTGCATAGAATCCATCAAATGAGAAGAATACATAAACCGAAGAAGAGAGAGGAAAGAGGGGATGGTGGGGGGAACTTAAACATGTCTTTGATAACAAAATATGATCATAAATAACCGATCACTGTGTATGAACATAATCAACTGACTGATTAAAAAGGGATGGTGGGTAAATGCAAACAAAGAGGGCATGTAAGAACGAACCTGAGGGACGAACAGAGAGCGTGTGAGAAGGGAAGTGTTGCGAAGCAGCCTCGTCGCCATAGAAGCAGCTTTGCGGGTTCAAAGTTCCCCCCTTAAAAGGAAGAAGCTTTGTTCAACAATGAAGGCAAACGGAATGGTTTTTATGTTGATGCATGTCATCAGGTGAAGTGACTCGCACCCTTTCGCACTGCGCTTGCTGGGTGTTTTTGCTTTGTTTTTTTTTTTTTTTTTTTTTTAGGGTTTAATGGGGCGTTTTATTTCCCTCCCTTTTCAATTCCTATTTATTTCCACCACAGTCAAGTTAGTGTTGTGATATGTCGATGTCGGGTGAAGGAGAACACAAGAGCGAGCCTATTCGTTGCTCCTATGCCTCTGTCTGGAGTCAACCAAATAACGTAAAAATCTTCATTGGGCCGGGCCTATCATTTCAAAGTTGTAAATGGCCTTCCAGAAATTCCCCACATTCCACACCGTTTTAAGAAGTTTTTATTTTTATTTTATTTTTTTAAATAAAGAGGGGCTAAGCCCCAGAAGTTTTTATTTTAAATGATATAAAATTATGTCATTTTAAGAGAGACACACACAAAATAATGATTTTTTATTTAAAATTTAAATTAAAAAAAACACTCACTTTCTCGTCCATGATTTTCATTCCTTATGTCTATCTCTCTTCTAAAATGACATAACGTATGTTCTTTAAAAGGACAAACATCAAACCCAAAGAAAATTCATATCCATTTTTTTTTGGCTAAATAAATCAAGGGTTTCATGAATATAAATATATAATTTTGCATTGTACTTATTGTGTCATGTCGTATACATATAAATATTGTGGATTCCACTGCGTAGAAAAAAAACATTTCATGTGGCAGTTCTATTTCGCATGGCACTTCTATTTCGCATGAAGCAATTGCAAAAACATTTCATGTTATTCAAAAAGTATTAAGCCCACATCAATATGTACACTTTTCTTTGTTCGGGTACACTGGTGAAAAGAAGAAGCAAAAAACAGAAGAAAACAAAACTATGACCTTGGTAGTTATTAGGGCTACATCCATAAAATCAACGAGGGATCTAGTAAAGAGTAAGACTAGTGTCGATATTGACTCACAGTTTTGCTAGAAAAATCAGCTATGCTGTTATGTTCCCTTAAGAGTATGGTGTAAGTAGATTTCCCACCTTGGCAAGTAGCTCAAGAACATTGCATAAGATCGTTGCATACTTGTGGTATGAAGAGGGAAAGCGCATATCTTGAGTCAGTGCTGCAAACGACTTTGAGAGTTTAGCTTGGAGATTATCAGAGAATCCAGCAACCCGGGATCCATCATGTTGTCTTTTCGATGCTCCACTTTGAGTACAGTAAAACAGAGCTTTCTAAAATTGACTAATAATTAATAGGGTCGGTTGACGAATATCAAACAAGTGTTCAAGGGCATTGATGTTCCTTAGGGAGTACGGATTCAAACCCAATTGCGCTTCTTCATTAATATCCAATCCCCCTTCCCACACAGGACACGTTATTACGTTCCCCGCCCCCGAGAGTCGGAGAATAACCTCGCAAGTGGAGGGCAATAGCCCCTTGCATATGAATCTACATCCTTAGTACCTTTCCCTTGCTGAAAAGAACGATTCCTTGATAAAACTAAACCACCCAACTTGTTTTTCGCCCGCCATTAATTATTAATTAAATGTATCAATATTATGGGAAATACAACAATAATGTTGTACGATAAACTATAAAGTAAAAGTTTCCAATATCATACACTTTTACCAGTTATCGGTATCTCTTCAGCGTGCATAAATAACGCGATCCACTTATCAACAAACAATACCTTATTTTCAGCTAACATTATTAAGCAGAATACCTAAAGAAAACAATTACAGATATTACTCGTGTATAAATAGTCTTGAACCTTTTAAATTTAAGGAAATACTGATCCAATTTGTTATTATTAAAATACTTCAAAAATTTAATATTCAAAACAACGTAGACATGTAAAAAAAGGACGACGAGAGCTATGAAAAAGTTGTTAAATGCAAGGAAAAAATACTAAATAGTTGACGAAGCACAAACTATATATTTCAAGTATACGACACCGACGTCCAAATCCAGCAATAACAAATCACAGTATCCTAACTAGGTAAACCACATTCTCTCGAAACGGGCGGAAAATAGGAGAAAGGAACTCAACAAAATCAGACAACCAAGATTTACGGAGGAAGATGAATTAGGCATGATTTAAAACCACATGAAATCCTCTTTTGCATCAGACATCATCGTACACCAATGAAACTCAACTGCATAAATAACCCTCCGTAGAAATTAAATTCTACTGTTGCTTGCACTCTGGAGGACGCTCACCCTGCTGACCATCACCAAGCTGTGCTCTTCCGCTCTTCTGAGGATTTGCGGTCAACATGAAAATCAGGCATGTAAGTTTCAGTTGCCAGCGGAAAAAAAGAGAGAGAATAATAATGCATGACTCCAACATATGTATCATTGATCATTCCACTTCAGTTAGATCACAAGATCAAAACATCTTACCTTGCGTGCTGATGACTGCAGCAACATTCCAAACAAATTGTCGACACAGGAGAGATCAAAAAACAAAAAAAAAATCATTCAGATTCAAACCACAAATACAAAACAATTACGGGTTTCAGAAAAGTATTTTAAGTATTATACCTTCTTTTTAGTCTTGCTTTCTTCCTCATCTTCGTCGTCGTCATCATCTTCTTCTTCATCGTCATCTTCCTCCTCCTCTTCATCATCATCCTCTTCAACATCTTCATCATCATCGTCGTCATCCTCCAAGTCAAATTCTCCCTCTCCCTGAATGGCCTCCCCAGTAAACCATGATACAGCATGGGGGATAATCTTGTCTCTTATTGTTGACCTAAACAAGTATAACAATTTGTCAAGGATAGATTCAAAAATCACGATTACAAAATACAAAAGGGGTTGAGGAATACAAATGTCAGCAATTACAGTTAAAAAGCAGAAACGTAACATATTGGAAACTCAAAAACATGCCACGGCTAATACAGAGTAAAAGGTAATTAAAGCTCACCCAATGTCATAGTCTTGTTCCATCTGATTCTGAAGCTCCTCAGCCTGCATAAAAATGAATTGGTTATAGCCAAAAAAAGTTGTCCTGTCTATAGCAACAGTATAAAAGTTAAAATTTACTGAATATTATTTCTAGTTGAGTTTAACTAAATGGAAATCAATACCATATCTTCATCAATGTCCTCATCATCTTCAGGAACTTGTGGTGGATTGAAGAAATTGAAGAAGCTCTCACAGTTCTCAGTTTTGGTAATTGGTTTAGCATTCTTTGAACCCTTCTTAGGCTTTTTCTTAAGAAGCTTCTGGGTCAAGCATTTTCCTGGGAGCCACTGAATTTCAGTCCTACAAGAAAAAGCAGCAAAAAATTTATTCAAGAGAAAGCCAACCCCTTATGACATGATTGTAAACTAGTATGGACAACAAACAGTGTGATTGCGCAAAAGGAAAAAGAACAATTTACCCAATTGCTTTCTCCAATATTGGTTCATCCTCATCAATCATATGATATGTTTTTGTCAAAACAGAATTTGTAAAATAAGGATTGGAATCAAAGAAAAAATCAAGCTTGAATCCTTTAGGGTTTTCAATCCTGCTCCACTTGATATCTTTGAGAAACTTGAGAGCACCTTCATCGCGCTCCGAAATCTGTTTTTCATAAGGAAGCAATGAAAGGATACCTAACATGAGACTTGATGCAAAACATATATAAGATCAATAAAAAAAGTTAACTGTCGAACACAACCAACTAACCTCCTCAGCTAACACTTCATTATTCTTCATTGCAGTGAGCCAAAATGCAGGCACTCCATTCTCTACAAAAAAAAAAAAACAGTTGTATCAACTATTAAGGAATCAAAACACCGTCAAAAAAAGTGTGTATGTCTAATTATCACCTTTATCCTCTTCAGTATCAGGTGTTGTTTCATTTGCTATCCCTTCAACATCAGTAACACCATTAACTATATCATAGCGCTGCATTCATTCATAATAAGTTAAGAGATAAACATATCAATACATCTATTGTCCCAATACGGCTCAGAAACATGATTTTTAAATTCTAAAACTGATTAAAAGAAAATAACATAGCTTATAACATCATATGCAACTGACCTTTGTGTACAGCGGTTGATACAAATTTTGGTATTTGGCCTCAAGAGCTGCTCTCTCCTCAAAAAATTTTGCCTCCATTTCATCGAGCTGACCCTGTAAGGTCAGGAAAAAAAATCAAAAGCTAATAAAAAGCAACCATACAACAATACGAGGGAAGCTCCAAAACATAAAACGCCATCTTGATGCACAAGTCACCCATTAACATCTAGTATTTACAAGTAAGGCCATAACACAACATCTTACATATATTCCCGACCAATTTAAAATGAAAAGACAAACCAATACCAATTAATAAATTGTATGATACACAAACATGAAGAATAAATATAAACAACCCACGTAAATTAGGATTACAACTGCAAATTTCAGGAAGCGATTATATACCTGTAACTCTCTGAGAAACTCAACACGCTTCCTCACATTAGGAGTAAGGGACTCTAGAACATCGGAGTGCTGCCCAGCCAGACTCTGTATCTTGCTCTGCGCACAGAGTAAACATTCAAAAAAAACATAAAAAATCCAAATAGAATAATTAATATATAAAAATGAAAAAACCCAAATCTTAATCTAAAATTTCGTAGAACAAAATACTCAAAGTAAAGGGCAAATTGAATAAAAGGAATACAGACCTTAAGAGCATTGACAAGGTCTGCTCTGTTCTCCTCATTGAGAGCTTCACCGAAAATTCAAAATCAATGGATAGCTAAAAAAAATGCAGTAAAAAAAAATTAAAAAGAAGAAAAGTGCAGCACCAGAAGTGAGATCGGTGACATTGAAGGTAGCCTTGTCGTTACTCATTGCAGGGATGCGAAGAGAAAGAAGTGAAGAAATGTTAAACCCTAGAGGAGAAGAAAAAGAGTAAAGAGGGTTTCTTTGTTGCTAAACGAGGCCACCCTCGAATCCTCTTTCTCTCCCTCCTTTTCCAACCCTTGATACCTCCTCTCTCTATTTATTGCCTAGGGCTTCCCTTCTTTCTTCTTTTCTTTCTTTGTTTAGTTTTGATGAAGACCTGTCCATTAAATGCTATGGGGGCCCAACCCAACTTAGCATGCTTCGGAAAGCCCTATCTCATATGGCCCAGTCCTAGAAAACCAAACCAATATTATTTATATTTTAAATAACTAGAAAAAAAATTACACAATACAATGGATTTTCAATGTTTTGTTTTCTAATTGGGAAATAAAATTTATTGCAATCAATGTTATTAAATCTGGATTGAATCGACCAATTCGACATAGAAATTGGCAAACCCTGCATGTGATTTGACTCGAAAATTGGCAAATCAGACATATAATCGGTCTAGTATTGGATCAGCTGTGTAATTAGTGAAATTCGGTTGACTCAACTGATTTTCAATAAAACTAATGGTTTTACCTAATTGAAAAATCAACACGCATAATAAGACAAGGCTACAACTTTAAAGATGGAAAGTTCACAATAGATAACTCGCTTGTAAGTGATAGCTTAAAGGCTTTAACTTCTCATTTTGTGGGTATTTTGGGACAAACCTTGATCAAGCACCACATCTTTCTAACTTTCAAAGAAGATATAGAATGGTTTCCAAAGGTTAGCACTTTGATAAATGGACAATATAAAGAGCTATTACACTCCATGGCAGCCAGTTTGTACTACCTAGCCCTTATCCCGTTCTTTATACATCATAAACTTATATTTTGAATATGAGCTTTTACCAAATGATGTTTAATGTAAGTTATTCTATGTTATGTCTTTCCCAAAGGCAGGTTCGAAAATTGATAAAATTGGTTCATGTTTTCTTCCCATTAAATGTTTAGGCTTGTGTGATAATTGATAAGGATTATTAATGGTGTTGGTTTGAGTTTGAAGTGAGAAAGGGGATATACGTGGAAGGGGTTGCTCTGTTTGTATATGAAGCATGGCCATCACTTTCTTTGATAAATTCAAGTTTTTGCCAAAGTATTTTGTTTGTTTATTTACAAATACATCCGGCTTATTAAAACACTTTACACTTCAATTGAAATTGTTACAATAAATATTGGTTGAAATAGTGATTTACTTGTTGAACCCGTGATTCATTGATCTAATATCCTCGTTGAGTCAATGAGTGGTATTTCGAATAATTGTCTTTTTCAATGTATGGTTTGTATCAAACCAAAAACCAATTTTTATGTATGTGTATAGGTCAATATTCATGGTATGATAGTAATAAAACTAATTTTAGGGTTCCTTTTGAGCATTTACAAACTTTTGAATTTGTTTTACTATTTTTCATAATTTTCTATGATCATACGACATTACTACACAAATTGAAAAAATAAAATTTTTGATTTTAAGACGCACTGATAAAATCCACAAAATTTTAATTACGTAAGTGGTGCCTTTATTATGGAGGGATTAAACAAGTCAATAGATAAAAGCAAATAAAGAGGATTAAAAAATAATATATTTCTTATGTTGTATGAGATAATTTTGTGTCATAAAATACACATAAAAATGGTGGGATAAAAAAAAATAAAAGAAAAAATAATAATGTTTATATGTGTATGAGAAAAAATTATTTGGTACAACATGAAAAATATATTTTTCTTAAAAAAAAAGATAGGATGGATGTTTGTCCTATTTACGTGTGTCGTGTGTATATTTCTCCCTTCCTAAATTTTGGATTTAAATAAAAAGTAAGATGAATGTTTATACAATTCAATAAGTGAATCAAAGGTGAATATGATTTATACAATTCAACAACTATTTATAGGACCCCGATTGATTTTCTGCTGATCCTGCCAACAAAAATTCTAATCTGAATACAAAATATCAGTCATACACAACAATTTATACCACCTATTTCACCTGTACTTAATCCACATACTCGCAACTTATCTTGCAGCCTGATTTTGATTATTAAATTGATATAATTTAAGTAAACGGTCTTCATTTGAATTATAGATCTAAATTTTAGCTTTTTATAATCCTTGTTTTCAGGTTCAGGTTCGTGTAAATTCATATATGAACCAAACAGGGGGTTGAGTCATGTCTTCCAACACGAGCAAAATTCCATTTGTAAATGAAGTTGTCAGGTGAGTTATAGGTAGTGTTTGGTTACGGAGAAATGAATATTTTCGAAGTGTATGTGGAATTGTGATGAACCGACGTTTGGTGGAAACATTTCGGTAGTTCTGTCCGTCAATTGGTTTTGCCTAGCAATCGAGGAAAACAAGTAAAAAACTGGTTAAAATACTATTTAGGAAGCCGTCTGAGAAGGTGGTATTGCTGTGAAAAGCGGATAAATGAAAAAAGGGGATGAAAACCATGACAACTTTACCCCTCCTTCTGTCAAAAAAGCGGATAAGTAAAAAAAAGGTGGTATTGCAGGCCGCTCGGAGATAGGACAATTTAATGGAGACCTCACTGCACAAGTCCAAGAAAAAGAATTGAGAATACATGTTGGAAAATCATAATTTTATAAAAAGGTTAATTTCATAATTTTCATTATTTTTCCCATCAAAAATTTATTTTCAACCAAACACACATCAAGATATTTAACCCAATTTTCCTTGTAATATTTTGTGCTACCAAACAACTTTTTTTAAACTTTCTTACCAAACTAACTTTCCAACGTCGTTCCTTGTAATTACATTTATCCACTTTAAAAAAATTTCTTTCGAACCAAACACTATCATAGAGTTTTCTTTTAACTTTCCTACAAGTCCGAGATTATATCAATTAAATATTTAAACCACTTTCATTAAACATAGACTAACGAGAGAATAGGGATATACCAATTAAATATCTATGACCCAAATTATGTTTTGAATACATGATAGTTTTGGAAATTTTGAAGTTTACTAAATTAAACATGACATCATTTAATTAAGCACGTCAGAAAGTCTAAATTAGGAGCACATCTTTTGTACTACATGCACATCAATCATTGGGTGCGACAGTGTATTTACATTATGTATTATCGGTAATACATATTATAAAATACAAAAAAAAAAAAAAATCTCCAATATAATAACAGCTGATATGACACGCTTCTATGGGTCCGTTGTAACTACTCCTGTAATATATTAGATTTTTTGCTAAGTTAGGTGCAAGACCGAGTATAAAAATTGGTCTACTAATTAGTTTAAATGAGATATAATGTAGTTGCATTTCATATATATATTGATATGATTCAAAAGTTAGGATTAAACTACACGAGTCATTGGTTTCAAAGATTTTTTTACGATAAAAGCAAATGTCTTTTGTTGCATGAATGCCAACCCCTATCTATCTCTATGGATTTAACAGGAAGTATTGGCTTTTTATTGGAGCTCCACCTTGTGAGCCTGTAGAGTGGAGAGTGTCTAATATGTCGAGTTGGTTTTCTGCCTCCATCCCCAATGGTGACCATTTGATACATGCCTTGTTGATGCTTTAAGTGAACATACCCTGAACCTAGAGCTGCTAGCTAGTGAGCTTGATGGATACTCCTCCTCCTCCAAACTCTTTAGGTGCTGTTTTTCGGGTGTCTTCCCCCCCCCCCCTATTTCATTGACCATTTATTTTAGGTATATCTCCAGAAGCTATATTTTCTATTAGCTTACAAGTTAACTGAAAAGAAGAGCTTTGATTTGTTTGGAGAAAATGGGCAGTGTTGTGAGTGTATCATCCAAAGCAAGGACAAGGCTTTGATCAAATTTTGCCCCTTGTTAAATACTACATATAAATTAACTGATAGGTTTATCATTCTATTGAAACACCTGTTAATTTTTGTTTTCTGGAACTTTTGCGTTGGAAAGATACTAGGACAATTGCAAAAGTAGTTCATTTGATTTTGGATTTATTCCTCTACCCCATCATAGATGATGCATGTCTGGCATTGCTGTATACTCTCTAATTGATGTCATTGTTTCTGCATTAATTTTGAAATATTATATCCTGCTATAAATTGAGTCACTTAATTTTAGCATATATTGGAAAATGGAAACTCTAATCATCAGCCATTATTGCTACCTCACTCTGGGTATCTTTGTAATGCTTGCATCTTTTATTCTGTGTTTCCTTTTGGCATGACACGTTAAGGTTACTCCTTTATAATTGTATTAAATGATGAGATTGAGATCCAATCACCCGTATCCAAGTGTATAGCTATTGCCCTCTACGGGGATCAATGAAACTAGCCGCTAGCCTTATGTATTAGAGTAATTTGAAACGTAATTAAGTTATGGTAATTTGAAATTAAGAGCTAATGCATCACAAGTTTTATGTTGTGAGCCAGGGTTGCTACTACTAAGACATCAGCATAAAACATTAAAACATCAATGTGCAAGAGTCTTGCCCTTTTTATTTTACCGTTCACTGTTGGCAGGTTTTAGACTTAAAAATTGTAAATTCAGTCCAAATTGTTAGCGTTGGCATGAAAGGCATGAATCATGCTAGTTCTTGCCAAATCCAACGCCAAAATTGAAACACGTGGCACTCATGTCCTACACGATTTATATATAACTGAATGAAGACGTGGGTTTTAAAGTTTCGAAATTCCATCCTTGCTAGTTATGTTTTATGATCGAATTGTTAATATTGGATCTCGGTTTGGCGAACCTAATGGGAATTAGGAAAAGAACACATTCATCTTCTGTCATGATGCGATTACAATGATGAGGTTCAGCAGCACATATTGAGTGGTTAATTTTGAGCCACGTTTTTCATCTTCTGTCATGATGCGAAAAGGCAAATTCAAATGTGTGCCACGTTAATCCCTAATCAAGCCCAGCCCAGCTCACAATTATTAAGGCAACAAGGTTAGGTGGCTATCATATCCCCCCCATTCAGCGAAACGACATGGCACTAACGTCGTTGCAAGAGCCCACGGTTTTTGGCTCTCCAACTTTTTGGAGCGATCGGCACCGAGCTTTTCCGTATTCCCCGAGCCACGATTACATTAGGGGACTGTTTGGTACATGGAACTTAAAGGGATACCTAGGAATTTGATAGTGCAAATTTTGTATACCCATATTTGGTACAAGGAAAATATAAATTTTGCCTTGGTATATTTTATCACCAGGTTTTAATTTTACACTACCAACAAGCCAAAATAAATGCCTAATTGGACATGGTAACTTTTTATACCTACCTATTGGGTATCCATTTACATATTTTAAAGACAAAAATACCTTTGTATACATCTTTTGGCACTGCTGTTTTATGATTTCTGTTTCTATTAGTTTTTTTGTTCTGGTTTCTTGTTCGACGATCCGGCTGCCGCTGCAATTTAGATCACTTGGGAAGTAGCGAGTTTAGAAACTTCTTTCAGTGAGGAGGGGAATTCGTTAATTGATATTCTATGATTTCTGTTTCTAAATCATGTTTAAAGTTATCTATTACGAGAGATGGTAGTTTCGTAAAAGTAACTTATTTTTCCAGTAATATTTTAATATCAACTAAACATTAGTTTAGTAAAATTAATAAATATTTTCGGTAATATTTTGACTTATCAAACACTTTTTTCGTATTATTTCCGGTCACATTTTTTTTTAACTATATTTTCAATAATCGTAATAATCAGATATTAAAAAATTACTCCTAATCAGATATTAAAAAATTACTCCTATACCAAACGCCCCTGTGCGTTGTCCTTAATCCTTATCCATGTGTTCAGGCGGTGGCAATAGCTCGTAAACACTGAGGTCAACACTTAACATCATTTTCATGTAAACCTAACTATGATACCACGGAATATTTTCATAATAAGGGATTTGACAAACTCGATAAAGCTGGTGTTACAACATTACACAGATGGAATCGGTTGTAACACTTGGCACTCATGCACATGGCTGCCGACAACAATGATTCCAATAACCGCATGGACCGTAACCGTTAAAATTTTCCACAACAATTTTATCTATTCGCCGTTAATTAAAAGACGATTCTATCCATCGAAGCATGAAAACGTGGCTGTTGGTTTGAGTTTCCGAAAATAGACAGGCACGGAGATACGCTGTTTTCGTGCGTGTCACAGTGTCAGTCCCTTAAGTGTCCTTTTTTTTTCTTTATTATAAAGAAAATTTCATTTTTAATTTCCACATTTATTTATCATCTATAAATCTATAAATGGAAAGTGAAGAGATTGCGTGTTAAAACACTTTAGGCAAAGACATTCGCATCTTTTCAAGACTGACACGAGGACACTCTATCAAGCGGCAAAGCACATAGACACCGAAATCTCCGGTAAAGCAAAATAAGAAAGAAAATGGTGGTTGCTCCCGGCGGCGGCGACGGTGGCTCCTTCTCTGCGATGGAAGCCTTGGGAGAGGAAATAGCGAGAGTGAAATCAGAGCTATTCGATGACAGTTCTCGTTCTAATAATTCTGGTGGCTCTTCCTGTGAAGGCGATCGATACGACGACGGTTTGAGTGAAAGGATGGAGTCAGGAGTGACGGGAGAAGAGGTTCATATCAAAGAAGAGGTTGATGACGGCGGCGTTAATGGATCTTCGACGTCTTCTTCGTCGATCGAATTGCCGAAACCAATGGAAGGGTTGAACGATGTGGGTCCACCACCCTTCCTTAGAAAAACCTTCGAAATGGTGGAGGACCACGACACCGACCCCATCGTGTCATGGAGCGAAGCTCGTGATAGCTTCATCGTTTGGGACTCTCACGAATTCTCCAAAATCCTTCTCCCCAAGTACTTCAAGCACAGCAATTTCTCCAGCTTCATTCGCCAGCTCAACACCTATGTCAGTTAAAAATTTCCTTATAGCAATCGTTCATAGTTAAATGATGATCTTATGAAAAGAAATTGAACTACTTTCATGTTTTTCTATGGAGGATTATTGCTGTATATTTATAATCTCACTCTGTTGATGCAATTAAATATTTGATTTTATAATAACACCTTTGTTTTCCTTGGTATGGGAACAGGGGTTTAGGAAGGTTGATTCAGATCGTTGGGAGTTTGCAAATGAAGGATTCCGGGGAGGGAAGAAGCATTTGCTGAAGAACATTAGGAGGAGAAGTAAGTATAACAAATTTCATCAGGGAGCATTCAATTCGATGAATCCTGGCCTGGAGGCTGAGGTGGAGAAATTGAAGAAGGACCAGAACATATTGAAAGTGGAGATTCTGAAGCTTAGGCAGCAGCAGGAGAATTCGCATGTTCAAGTCACGAATGTTCAGGAGCGAATTCGGTGTGCAGAGTTGAAGCAGTATCAGATGATCTTTTTCCTCACCAGAATGGCTAGAAGGCCAGCCTTTTTTGAGCAGTTCATTCAAAAGATTAAGCGAAAGAGAGAGATTGATGGTGCTGACATGGTTAAGAGGCGTAGATTGCTTGGAACCGAGGGCCCTTTAAGCTTCCCTAAGGTAATGGAAACAAAACCTGATGTTGATTATAGATGCCAAGGTTATGAACAGTTCAATACATTGCAATCAGAACTCAATGGACTATTGTCTGAAACCGTGAACACCAGTAGAATGGAGACCCCATCTCCCTCTCCCAATGAATTATGCAGCTCTGTACAAGGCTTGAGGCCGGGCTATGGTTCTAGACCAAGTGCGCAAGATGTATCTTCTGCTTATGATGTTATGTCAGAAAAACTACTGGAGGAAAATTCTGTTGTTGATGAAGAACTAGATGTGAATGACTCAAATATCTATCTTGAATTAGAGGATTTGATAAGTAAGCCAGCAGATTGGGTTGGATCTGCAAGTGGATTGGTGGGGCAAACTAGTTGAATCCCAGCAATTCCTTGTAATGGTAAAGTTTCTCTCCAACTTTATGAACCATCTAGTTTTCAATAACCTGCCCCCAGTTTTTTGGATTTGACATTGTATGCATTGTGCATTTGCAGGTTGAAAGAGCGTGTATTTGTGTAGATGCTCATGCTGCGACACAAGATGAAGAGCTAAATATTATAAGACTCTTCAATTACCAGCTTCTAAAAGTTTAGGACCCAGATGTTGGCACCAGTTCCATATGATATGATCAAGCGAGATTTTCATATTTCTGTTCGGCTGGGTCCTTATTGTGAATACTTGTCTTCCTTTTTTAGTCTTTTTTTTTTTTAACCTTAAATTCTGGTTTACTCTGCTTGTATCAAGTCCTATATCAGTATGTTCATATCTAAGCCTCTTATGATGCAGTAATTGCTACGTACTTGTAAATATAAAAAATACTTACAATTCCCTGCTTCCTATTGCCTTTCCAGTATCAGTATGTTGATAAATTTAATGATCCTGGTAATTTACTTAAAAAGAGATACTTGTTAGTTTGTTACTGACAGACTGTAACTAGAAAAACAATAGCTTTACCCATACTGACCAATGGCCGAGTTCATATTTTATATGACTATGTTAAGCGACCTGGGTATGGACTAGTATGCCATATTGTGAGTTCAACTGACCCGAGTTACATCAGAAACTAGCATTTTCATCGTAATACAACAATCGGAACATACAATTGGGACTTTTTCTCATTTTGATTATTTGGGTTTAATATAGAATAATTAACTGAAGCCATGAGCGTCAAGGAACACAAGCAAGGGACCCCAACAATATAATGAACATCAACTTGGAATAATGTATATATAGCTTATGCTTTTAATTACTCTGTTCCCCAACATGAAACATCCAAAAGATTGGCCTGTTCCCACATATGTAATAATACAATATATTATCATATATTAATATGTTCACGGATCGCTTTGTGTGTTCTTGGACTCGCCACGTCTCTTCTCTGTGTTGAGCTTGATTGCCGTGCGTTATCATGTAGCGAAGTTGTTCATAGAGTTTTTGTTATTCCAGATGATAATGAGTTAAAAAGGAATAATAGATATATAATAAAGTTTATTAATATTTTATAGTATAGATTCAAGATAAAAGTAATTATAACAAAAATTTATATTTGAGTATAATATAAATCATCAAAGAGACTATTATTTAGAGGTCGTTTGGTTCACCTTTTTTTTAAAAGTAACTTTTACTACTTCCTTATTTTAAAAGTATTTTTTACAAAAGTTAAAGCTATTTATATTTTTATAAAAATATTTAGTTTTTGAAAAAAATATTTGGTTTTTGACTTCTACTTTTTTGAGAAGTTAAAAATTTTAGCTTATGAGAAAAGTAGGTTTTTGGCTTTTTTTGTGACTTCTCCTTTCTTTAAAAGAGACATCTAAACGAACTAAAAATGAAAAGTGTTTTTTTTTCTTTAAAAAAAGCAATTTTTGAAGAAGAAAAAACTCATCCAAACGGACCCTTAATAGCTTCTTGATATCTCAAGTTAGACCATTGCCATTTCCTTTTTTTGGTGTGGAACTTTTTGACATAGGTAGATTGAACCTAATGCATCATCCTCTTCAAAAGGTATAATATAAATAATATAAAATATTAAAGAGGCCGTCAGCCCATCACCCAATAACCTAATCTTTTGTGTTGAAGTGATTTTTACAATTTATAAGAAAAGTAATAATAAACAAAGTATTGAATTTAATATGTATTTGTTAAATAATGATATACCTTGTTCAAAAAGACAAATAAATAAGAAAAAAAATAAAAAACTTGACAAAAGACTCTACCATCAAAGCTTGAAGAAGTCTTGAACATGAGTCCCATCAAAGAGATCGGAAAATGTGATTTGGGATGTTACTACTACCAGAGAGTTCTGTCCAACCCGTGGGATTTAGACAGAGAGATCCTTTATCCGTCTATCTTTTTGTGTTGTGTATTGAAAGAGATGGAGACCTATCCTTTATTCCATGCTTCCTATTGCCTTTCCAATATGTTGTCAACTTTAATGGTCCTGGTTTACTAGAAAGAGATACTTGTCAGTATGTTACTGACATCCTGTAACTAGTATGCCATATTTATTAACTGACCTGAGTTAGATCAGATACCAGCATTTTCATCGTAATACAACAATCGAAACATGTAATTAGGACTTTTTGTCATTTTGATTATTCTGGTTTAGTATAGAATAATTAACAGAAGCCATTGTGCATCAAGGTACACAAGCAATGAACCCCAACAATATAATGAACGTCAACTTGTAATATAATAATTTATATATAGCTTTTGCTTTTAATTACTGTGTTCCCCAACATGAAAATCCAAAAGATTGGTGGATGATCTGATTCTATTGCGTCCCTGTTCCCACACATGTATGTAATAATATAATATATATTAGTATATTCGCGGATTGCTTTGTGTGTTCTGAGACTCGCCACGTCTATTCTCTTTGTGTTGAGCTTGATTGCCGTGCGTTAACACGCAGCTAAGTTGTTGATAAAAGTTTTTGTGTGACTTCGTGTTACATGTAAAATTCACAAAAAAAAATTAAGCTCTTCAGATAATTAGTTCATAATATATATATCACCCTTTTTTCCACATCCTCCAATCTGCGTGAAATCCCCGTTGACTAGTTGAAGATTAGCCATAAGCTGGTTCTGTTTTGGGTTATCGGGCTATAAGAAATTGAGACAAGTACTCCTCACTCCTCAAAAGGCATTTGGATTTCTGCTTGTCAATTATGATTGAGAAGTCTGGACTCATGGTTTAGACACGATTAACAATCTCTTGGACCCAAGCTCAAAGTGAATTCAGTAGAATACTTAGCACATACATTGGTCCATTTTTTTCTTAGGTTAAGTATATTGGGCCATAGCCCATAGCCCATAGATATACGCATAGGCCGATATCCGCTGACTGTGTAAAAGTTTCTGACGTCTGATTCTGATTCTGATTCTGATTCCTAATCACTTCTTTGATTATAGGTGTTGACTTGGTTTTTTTTTGGGTCTAATATTTGAATTTTAAAATCAGAGGGGGGATATTTTGACTATCAAAAATGTCCACTACTATCTTACTACCTATCAAATTACCATTGGATCAAAGAGAGAGAATGTTAAAAAGTTTTTGAAGAGAGAGAAAATGTTAATTCAATAGTGATTAGATAGGTAGTAAGGTAGTAGTAAAAATTTTTGGTAGTGAAAATATCCTCCCTCTTAAAACCAATGGATATACACAGAGAAACGAAGAATTTTCATCTGAAACAAGCAATTCCTACAATTCGTGGTTGCTTTCTTGAGTAACAAGCAAAATATGTGCGCTGATGATCCTCCATCAAAGCCTAATTATTAGTTTTCTTATTCCCCTGATTTTATTATTCTAAGAACTGACACTATCATTGTTCACAAAAGTTAGCATAATAAAATAATTAGCATGGTCCATGCATTATGCATACATGAAGCCTGTGCTACCACTTTATAGTAATAATTGAGCGATGTTTAATTTGTACGTGAAGTATTTGTTGGATTTTGTGTCTAAATTTTATGAGTTATAAATAAGAAGTGAGTTAAAAAAATAAAAAAATAAAGTGAAAGGGGTGTGTGGGTAAAAGTCTCACATTGGATAAGCCTTCATTATTCACCAAAGTTAGCATCTCTCTCATAGTTATAAAACCCGGTCGAACCTGGCCTGACCTGGCCGGGTCGACCCGGAACCCAGCGAACCGGTCATCGGATCGGTTCAGGTTAAGCATTGGACCGGTCACACATCGATCCGGTCAAATCCGGTCAAAATCTGGATAAAACCGGCAAAATCCGGTGACCCGGTCAGGTCATGTATTTAAAAAAAAAAATCAAAATTGTTTCATCTTGTCAAAAAAATGTAGAACTCATTTTAAAACTTTTTGTAATTTTATTTGCTAGTATACTCTTCTATAATGACCTTAAATTTTAACTTCTAATACTGAAGCAATTTGCAGAATAATAAATTAAGAGAATGTGATACATGTCATTTTAATGTAGTTGAATTTAAAAAAAATGAGCTCAATGTCATTGAGAGGTATGTTTATGGGAATTTTGAGTTGCAATTTAAATTGACATAGTAATAGCATTTATTTTTATTTATTTATGCTTCTTATTCTTGAGTTTATTTAATGAACATTGTTTAATTCATTTTAGATATGGAGAATATAATTGAATTTATATGTTCGTATTTTTATATATCTATATATATCCGGGTCAACCGGTCCGACCAGTGACCCAGTATCCCGACCGGGTCGATGCCCGGGTCAGGTTTAATAACATTGATCTCTCTAGTTTGCCTCTTGTGGCACATGACTTTTGTGAAGAAGAGAGATGCATATGAGCCTTGTTCCACCACACGCGCACTGTCGGCCAGCTCGGTTCGATCCGGTACTGAGAAAAAATAAAAATAAATTTTTGGTCCAAAATACTATGTTATATTCGTTGCTCCCTGCCAATTTTGAACTCCCTTTTAAAACCATAAACAATGCTTCAATTCCTTCCATCCATTTTGAACCTAGATGGTACGTTCAGTTATTTTAATTTGTTCATTGTCGTCGGTCATAATGGCTCGCCGACGGCAATTCATCGTACCTGATCGGTGTTTATATATACATATAGCTCGATTCTATCTATCTTAAAAGATAATTGTTCATCAACCTTCAACATCATTAGACAGAACAAATTGTCTTAACGAGACTAGGCTCAGATTTTCTACATTTTCTTATATAATATGACCCTCTTGAATGCACTGGTGGATAAGCCAGGCTGTTATATTCTTAGCTTGGTCGATCTCCTAGCATTGCAATTTGCAACCGCAATTATTGTATCCTATACATCTTATTTTATTTGGTGATATATATGGCCCATTTCTTCTGTCGGCATGGCTCCATATCAAACTGCAATTACGTATGCCTATTCTCGTAATTTTCTTTCGCTTTTTGTCCTAAGCATGGTTTGAAGATGATTTTCTAGGCACAAAAACTACAGAAAAACAGCGAATTGGAAAACCATTGCCAAAATATCTTTGAATGAAGCTATCTTTATTGTATTAATAAAAAGCGTTGACAAAAAGATTGTATAGAGGGATACAATACAAGTTGCAGAAAAAACTGCTATGCTCCAAATCTGATGACCAAACACACGTTTGCATCGCACTGACGACGACGGGTCAACTACCTTGATATCTGAGTTGTGGTGGGAACAAACAATCACACTAAATGCCATTTACTACGGTTTAACCACAATATGACTGCAATTAGTTAGTTAAAGGTATTTAATATATTTCATCTTTAATATATAATTTACTATCGGAAATGCCTTCTTGATTAATATTAAAGATGGCTCTAGTATATATATATATATATATATATATATATATATATATATATATATATTTTACAATCAGGGGCAAAGAAAGAAAGCAACAGAAACAAAAACAAATCTATAATTCAAATTACTAAAGAAAAAAGAATAATGCATTTGAATGGAATAATTTTAAAATTTACCCTTTTGCAATGCTATAATCTTTTAAAATTTACAATTTCGATGAAGTTGAAGATAATCTACTATATCATATTCGCTATTATGGTCAACACGAGTTAAACTATATTGCCTCATAAGTTAAAATAATATAAATTAAGTTGGAAACCAAAATAAAAAATAATATATTTCACAAGTTAAACTATATTGCCTCATTAGTTTCCAACTTTATATTATTTTCTATAGAGTAAAGATACAATGAATTGAAAGTATTTTTTTTGAAATAAGAGAAAACTAATCTAATATACAAGGAAAAATTGTATGTCATTTTAAAAGATGAAAAATTATGTCATTTTAAATGAGAAAAAGAGATAGTTCATGAAAAAAAGAATGGATAAAAAAAATAAAAGTGTGAATCTTACTTCTTTGCGAGAGTAAAATGATATAAGTTATATTATTTAAAAAGTTAAATAATTTTTCCATAAATAAAAGGAATATTAGTATTATTTAGGCGGTTTCTATCCGAAGGTAAGCAATAACCAAGTTGCCAAATAGAAAAACATATTCAGGTTCCAGGTTGTGTACGGTCGAGAATATTGATGATCTTAATTTCCTTTCAAAATAGGAGGCATTGACTTCAAGAATCAAGATATCTCCCAACATAAAGAATATGAGTTATGATCGTAGACTACCATCTTATTTATTCTAAACTAAGATTATAATGTCCTCCTCATTAGTCATGCCAATATTCTTATTTCTTAAGCATTAACCATTTAATTTCCTAACATTTCTGATTTTTTTTGGTCTCCCACGAATTCTGAATCTACATGTAAACTGGGTGAATATCACGAGGGAAGAGATGAACGATAAACCATTCAAAACGTGGGTTGAAAAAATGGGTGCTAAAGTTCCAAGAGAGAAGAGACACACGATTGAATGGTATTAATTTTTGACCATATTGACTTGAACAACATGCTACGCATCCCTAAAATAAAATTGGTAACGTTATCATCTATTATTTATCTTGTGGCTGTTGTCAACGTGAGAATGTGTTTTCAACATGGCCCACATGATAATGTGATTCTTGCCATGTCTTTTCCATTCCCATCTTCTACTTTTATAAAAGGGTACTTCTATTTATCCGAGTGAAAATGTAGGATAGTACTTTTTTTTCTTCTTGATTCTGACATATATCTCGTATTTTGTGACAATAGGCAAAAGTATTTTTGCTTGGATCTATATGCGGATCCTAAAATTATTTAAAAAAGAAATAAATGAGTGAGGTCCAATTGTATGTCATCACGAAATAATTTAATTCCGGTGGGACAAATCTAAAGGCTTGGAAATCTTCCTCCCATGAGAGTGCAAGCTGGGCTAACTAATCAGCACATTGAAACGGATCAGCTAATCTTTTTCGCGAAATAAGCGACAGCTGGAAAAAGTGCATAAAAATTTATGTGAAAATTATCGCAGTAATAATTTTCTTTTTTATAAAAAAAATACAAAGTGTAAGAGATAGGTGTACAAATTTGAGTATGGATATAATATGAGGATGAAAGCAAATGGTGTTTCTTCATGGAACCTCGCAAAAGCTTACTTACTTTTTTATTTTTTATTTTTAGTATAGTAAGCTTACTTTCTTTGACCGCCAGCTTTCCGTGGTTGTTGTTCTTATTTATGTTCGCCCAAGGACGAGGACGAGTAAGAAATTTTTTTGCAAACACACCCCTTAGAAGGGACTTTCCCACAAATCTAAAAAGGAGAATTCAAACCACTCTGCTTTGAATTCATCGAAAAAGTAACCTTTGAACCTTACAGTCAGCTACCTTTATTTTCCAATTAGAAAATGTGCTGGTAGATTCGTATTGGAATTCAAACCCTGCTCCTTTCTCTCGTTTTCGAGTTTTTGACACGTATTTGAAGGCACCCTATCTATATATATATATAAGCAAAGGGGAGCCACTGTGATAGACCCATCTTCCTTTCTTTGTTCTTTTACTCGGACTTCAATTATATTCAGCTACATAACACACCAGAGATATATCTAATATCTTGATACATCATTAAAAAACGGTAAATCATTCTTCGTGGATTTTCATACTTGTTTCTTTCTTTTAGTTGTATGCATTATCTGTTTCATTTCTTGGTTAAACTTTTCTATAGCAGATTATACTGAGAATTTAATGTAATTCTTAGGCCTTGAACCATTCGAATATATATATTCTACTTATGGCTTGGCTGATATATATGTATGTTAATATCATTTGTGTAGACTTCAAAAAAATTGTAGTGGGCGAGTATCTGCAGCTCTATGGGATTATCACTTTCGATACTTCAATCTGCTTGGGAAGAAATTGTTACACATTCACTCTTTGGTCTGTCTCTCAACATCAGTTTTGCTTCTAAAGATGGGGCTTTGATTTTAAGGGCAACAAGCTTCAAGAAAAGAGAACCAGAAACTCCTAATGTTTTGTCAAATGGGTTCAATAAGATGAGCGGTTCAAGCCGGTTGATGGATAATAGACCCGAACATGTGATCCTTAAAAGAAATCTTTCATTTGTTCAATACGAGGAGACCACAGATTCGGATGCTCTTGGAAGCAAAAGTGAAATGAAATATAAACCAGTGCCCGTGCTTTCTCTCCCTGAAGCAGTGGTTTTCTCTTCCCCCAGACCTGTCTGTGAGCTTGATGCTGCTGCAACTAAACTTCAAAAAGTCTACAAGAGTTACCGTACGAGAAGAAATCTTGCAGATTGTGCTGTGGTGGTGGAAGAACTATGGTAAGTCTCAATTAAAATCAATATTTTTCAGTAGTATATTTGCTTAAACTTTTAGCTATGTATGTTATTTAACTGGTGAGTTTTAAATGATGTAGGTGGAAAGCATTAGACTTTGCTGCTCTCAAACGGAGCTCTATTTCATTCTTTGATGTCCAGAAACCAGAAACCGCCGTGTCACGGTGGGCAAGGGCACGGACAAGGGCAGCTAAGGTATTCAATATTTTAATGATTTCACGTTTCTCCAAATTGAAGTAACTTCAGTCATTGTTTTATTTATGTTATTTTATTTGGACAGATTTTTTTAGAGTCTACTAGTTGGTGCTAACTGTTATTGTTTTCTCCACAGGTTGGCAAAGGTTTATCCAAGGATGACAAGGCACAAAAACTAGCACTGCAACATTGGCTTGAAGCTGTAAGTCCTTGAACCCGAGCCTTTAACCGTGAAATTGAATTACACTTTTTTAATTTCTGGTCTTGTATTAACAGAATCAATTCCTTTCGTGTTTTTTGTACAGATTGACCCACGTCATCGCTATGGACACAATCTGCACATGTATTATGATATTTGGTTTGAAAGCCAAAGCACCCAACCTTTTTTCTACTGGTAAACTCTTGTTCCGTGCTATCTTTTTCCTCTTGACCAGTAATTATAATGAAGATGGTAAGCTAAGGTTCTAGATGGTGATTAACTTTGTGCTTTATAATATGTAGGTTGGATATTGGAGATGGCAAAGAAATAAATCTTGAGAAATGCCCAAGAAGCACACTACAACGCCAATGTATCAAATATCTTGGACCAGTAAGTTATCTCTGAACAATACCACGTTTGGATTCACAAGAACACATAAGCCTGTCTCATGTCTAATGTTGAGTATCTTTGTTGTTACCATCGCAGAAAGAAAGGGATGAATATGAAGTAATTGTTGAAAACGGAAAGCTGGTCTTTAGACAAGATGGGAGGCTTGTGGATACTGATGAGAAATCCAAATGGATATTTGTTCTAAGCACCACAAGGTCCTTGTATGTGGGGCAAAAGAAAAAGGGTACATTTCAACACTCAAGCTTTTTAGCTGGGGGTGCAACCACAGCAGCTGGTAGATTAGTGGCCCATCAAGGTGTCCTAGAGGTGTGGATTTAAGAACTGCATTTCACAATTCATACATAATGATAACCAAACTTTGTTATTATTATATTTATCTTACACAACTTTGTTCTCAGAAGCAAATTTGCTTATGAAGTGTTGTTATATCCACAATGCAGGCTATTTGGCCATATAGTGGTCACTACCACCCAACAGAAGAGAACTTCAAAGAATTTATATGCTTTCTTGAGGAGCACAATGTAGACCTTTCCAATGTCAAGGTAAAAGGTTTAGTCCTCATAAAATTACATGACACTTAATGAAGCAAAATTATACTTACCTGATTGATTTCTAATATAAAATTACCTGATGGTTGTTTTGCTTGTTTCTTGCAGAGATGTGCTATAGATGATGATACTTCTTCACTTATTGGGACTAATTCATTTACTGCCATTAATGAAACACAACAAACTATTGGTCCTACTCTAACTTCCCAATCAGGCCCTGCAACTGCAATTAATGTCAATGATAGCAACGTGCCAACAACTGTTCATAAAAAGGATGATTCAGCAGCAGCAGCATTTAACCTGTCCAAGAGGTTGTCTTGCAAGTGGTCAACTGGGGCTGGACCTCGTATTGGGTGTGTCCGTGACTATCCTGAACACCTGCAATCAAGAGCATTGGAGCAAGTCAATTTGTCTCCAAGGCCCACTTCTTCACGCCTCGTTAACTATGGCCCAATTCCTTCTCCCAGGCCCAGCCCTAAAGTTAGGGTGTCCCCCAGGCTTGTATGCATGGGATTACCCAGTCCAAGAAACCCAATTCCAGCTGCAAGTTAAAGGAAGCATCACAGGATTTGGGCCATTATTCAGCCCAAAAATGGGTCAGCTCAGGATTAACCAGAACTGTTTTCTCTCTCTCTTTTTTTTTAACCCATAATTCGTTTATTTCTTCATTATTTTAGGAATTTGGTGTGGCACATTGGATCCTTCACCCATTTCTGCCTCTTTGTTTTTTGGGAAGGCATAAAGATTCAATTAACATTTTTTATATATGGAGTAGTACAGATTATAAAGCATGATAATCTGGAAACTCCTCTTTTACTTTTCCATCCCCCCCACTTTTCTTTGTTACAAGTTACAACTCTTGTATTTTTCTTTTACATTATGTTACTTCTCCGAATGAATATACCAATTTTTTCTAATGACCATTCCATTTTTGGAACTTGAAAAGAAATGCTGTGTGTTTTGGACATTAACGTCTCGGTTGGTACGAAATAAGTGATGATAAAGTGAGTCTCGTGGTGGACTGGGATTCCATGTTATATTTTCAAAAGTTGGGATACATTAGTGTCGCGCAACTCAGGCTCTTTATCATACCCAAAATAAAAATATAAGCTTTTTGACCGTTATAATTTTTTTTTAATAATTAATTATCAAATTGACCTTGATTATAAACTATTTCAAAAATGTAACCTCCCCAACAAACATAATATCAATCTGTCCCTGTTTGACCGTTGACCACCAAGCCTACTCGGGTACATCTCTCCCTATCCGGGTATTTTTTGAAATTTTTTGCCTACCCGGGTAAGGAGGGTTGTACCCGGGTATAGTTCTTGAATCTGAAAAAATAGTTCAATTATTTACCCGGGTAAGGAGGGGTGTACCCGGGTAAATCTCTGAAATTTCAGTCTTTAACACAGGATTTCTGCATTACGATAGATCATGTTTGATGCTTTGATGTTCTGTTAGGGTATAAGTCTTTAACACATGATTTTTATTTTCCTCTGTAATATCCCATGTAACAAAGATGGTGTAAAAATTCAAAAACAACCCAAAAAAAAAAACATTACGCACTAAGAATAAAATCCGCGACGTAAGGCCAATGACAAATCACACAAAAAGAACAAAGTAGCAAAGTATATATGCGATATGAGTGGATGAAATAATAAAGAAATAGTTCCATTGAAATCAGAATTTTTTTGATGGGATATCACATTTTCTATGTCGCGGAAGAAGAATGCTATTATTGTTCAATGAAGATGCATTATGAATAGAGAATGAGTCCTCCTCTTTTTTTTTTTTTTTTACATAAATTTACAGAAGTTGTCCTCATTTATTATGTGAACCCAGTTACGCACAAAGAAAGATCACATGGGAAACACTCTTAGCGCTGTTTCTTCCAAGTCCTTCGAATTGAGTAGAGCTCCGGGGTATACAGAAAGTAATGAAGAGTATTATGCTTTTGAGGAGCAGAGTGTGTTTTATTACGCTGATGATAGAACCTCCAAAGCTTCAATCAAGAAGATGAGACGATTCGGCAGCAACCGCGTGGAAAAATCCATCATCTCTGTCACAGATGGTGATAACGTAAATGCGCTTTCTTCACAGACGGGGTTTATGGTAAAGATTTACCCGGGTACACCCTTCTCTATCCGGGTAAATAATTCAATTATTTTTCCAGATTCAAGAACTATACCCGGGTAGACAAAAATTTCAAAAAATATTCGGGTATGGAGGGGTGTACCCGGGTAGGCTTGGTGGTCAACGGTCAAACATAGGAGATTAAATTTTTGAAATAATTTATAATTAAGGTCAATTTGATAATTAATTATTAAAAAAAAAGTTATAAGGGTCAAAAAGTCAAAAATATACGTTGTATCAATTATGGAAACAAATTGATAATTTCCTCCAAAATGGAATGACTATTATCTAAGTAAAACATAAGTTCAATATTATCATAAAATGTATTTTAATTTTAAAATAATTTCATTTAATATCTCGGTTAACATAAGATTAATAACAGCACAAAAAATAAATATATATGACACCTAGTTCTGAATAAAGAAGAGCAAAATGATCGAGTTACGCGCAATTAGGTCACGTGTTTATTACGCAGAAAGTTGATAGTGGATAGATAAAGTCACGTGTTCGGGGCCCCACTATTGAGAGTGGCCCGAAAAGCTTGTGTGTCCCACCTAAAGGAGAGGGAGTTGCGCCACGCGTAAACAGCACGCGTGGACATGCCAAAGAAGCAAGAAAAAAACACACCAAAATAACCAACGGTTGCAAGCAAGAATGGTGTTGCTGCTTCGAACGGATCAAAGACAAACCCATTTCATCTCATCTCATCATGCAAGAGAGAGAAACACCATATCCATCAATATCGTCACTGCTCCTCCTTACGCTTTCCTTTTCTTCCTTATTCTCTCTACCCACCCCCTTTTTTGTTAACCTAACCCTACAATTATCACACCCAAATACCACAATTACAATCACAATTTTACCTAATTCCTCACCCTAGATCTCACACCAAAATCTTCTTTCTTTTTCACCATCTCATTTCTTTTTCATTTTCTTCCGTTATACCTTTTTTTTTCCTTTCTTTTTATCTATTCATGGATTCCAGTTCTGGGTGCCGACAATTTGTGGCATTTAATATTTACTCAATTTGGAATTAGGGGTTGTGGTTTGCTTAGGGTTCCAAAGATTATCGCTCCCCCCCCCCCCCCCCCCCCCCTGAATGGAACCTCGTGTAGGGAATAAGTTTCGGCTCGGCCGGAAGATCGGTGGCGGCTCGTTTGGCGAGATCTATTTAGGTTGATTTGTTTTCTTACATTATTTTCCCATATATATATAATTTGGCTCTTTTTGCTGAGTTGTTTTCTTGTGCAGGTACTAATATTCAAACTAACGAAGAGGTTGCAATTAAGCTTGTAAGTCTTGTTCATCAATTGGGTTTCGGATTTTATTCCAATTTCAGCACTATTTTTTTTTATCCAAATTTTTTCTTTTTTGGCGTCGTTTGTTTCTTTGAAGCATGAAAAACAATTTACGAGCTTTATTTGTGTACTTTAATTTCTGCTATGAATGAGTTGTGGGAAGGATGATTTCCTGTGAAATTAGTTTCTGCTCTGAATTATGTGCGAGGGGTTGTGGAATTGGTTATGAGCTGTTGTTTTATCCGGCATTCTTAATGACATTGGTGTAAGCTTGTATTCTATATGTCAAGTGCCTTCACTGAGCTTATTCCTGCTTCCTATTTCTTTGGAAGGTGACTAAGTGCTCTCTTAAGAGGGTGCCTGTGAAAGATATTTGATCGTTTAGAAACCACTTTTTGTATTTGAAAGCTTTGAAGAGACCCCAGGCAGGAAGTGAAAGTGTAAATACAATGAAAGAGTAGGGTTGTGTTAGGCAATTGTTACCCAGCTCAAGACTTTGTGAATCTTTATCACATGGTCTGACGATATAATTGTGATAAGGGTAGCTTGTTACCCATAAGCGTATTATCCAGTACAGTGTTAGATGAGCTAGAGCTGCTACTTGATACTCGGATGTAGTGCAAAAATAAGCAAGGTTCTCACATTTTCTTGGATGGATGCTGGTAAACAAGTAAGTTCCAAAGATTGGAAGTAGGGTGATATGAATGAAACATGCCTTGTTTACTCAGTCAAATTCCCTCACTTCTCAGCAAAATATTGGCATTTCCCTGCTTATTTAAGATGGTGATTCATTATTTCTAAAATCATTGGCTGGGGATTGAATTGGAAGCAATGAAATACTAATATGGCTTAACATTCTGTGTAATTGAAATTTTCTTTTAGTAACTTTGTTAAGCTGGTTCCTCAAATTGAACTTTGCTTCTAATTTTGGAATTTGTTTTTTTAAGTAGTCACTGGATTCTTGATATCTTCAAGTGGACTAGCGCTGATTTTCTTGTTCTTTCTTTCTGTTACTTGCTGTGCTTTGCTTTTAAATTAGGAAAATGTCAAGACAAAGCATCCTCAGTTGCTGTACGAGTCCAAGTTGTACAGAATTCTCCAGGGAGGAAGTAATGACAATCCTCATATTAATTTTTTAACTTTCTTTTGCTTGCATTTTCTGCAATCATCCCCCGTAAATTTATCTCATTTATAATTATTAATTAGTTCTAACTCAAGGTTGATTTTGGCAGCTGGAATTCCAAATGTTAGATGGTTTGGGGTGGAAGGAGATTACAATGTTCTAGTGATGGATCTGCTTGGACCTAGTCTTGAAGATCTATTTAACTTCTGTAGTAGAAAACTATCACTAAAGACAGTTCTCATGCTTGCTGATCAAATGGTAGGCTCTGGTTGACTGTATTACCTTTCTGTATACATACACACACAACTTTTGGCCTAGCCTTTTTTTAAACTTTTTTTTCCCCCAGATCAACCGTGTTGAGTTTATTCATTCTAAATCATTTCTACACCGGGATATCAAACCGGATAATTTTCTGATGGGATTAGGAAGGCGTGCAAACCAGGTGGCTGATCTTGTTGATGTGTACTTTGGATTTATTATATGTTACTATCTGGAGATATTTAATGCATATTGGTGCACATGTAGGTTTATGCTATTGATTTTGGTTTGGCTAAGAAATACAGAGATAGTTCAACCCATCAACACATTCCTTACAGGTACGAAGATTCAGTTGGTGTGCATTAAATGAGGTACTTATCTAGGTTATTGCTGTTGTTAGCCCTTGTTGGCATTGTAAAACTATTATAACCTAATTTGAACTACACTTATCCAATGGCAGTTGTAACTTTGCAAGTTATCATATGCTGTACAGCTGCCATATGCAAAAAGAATAAAGATTAAAAAGATAAGGGGGGGGGTGTTATTATGGTTTTTCTGAGAATAATAACATCACTTGAATATAAAATAATATGTTGTGTATTGATCTAATTCAGAGAGTTACAATATATAGAGACTCTAATGGGCTTAAGTGAAAAGCCCAGACCTAATACAATCAGCATAATTACAGACTAATCAGCATAATTACAGACTAATCATATCTAATCATATTTAATATATTCTAACACTTCCCTCAAGATGGTGCGTATATATTGTGAGCACCAAGCTTGTTACAAATGTATTCAACCCGAGGACCTCTAAGAGCTTTAGTGAAGACATCCGCTAGTTGATCAGAGGAGTTGACGAAAGCAGTCTTGATTTCTCCTGACTGAATCTTTTCTCGAATGAAGTGACAATCAATCTATATATGTTTGGTCCTCTCATGAAAGACATGATTAGAGGATATATGTAGCGCAACTTGATTATCACAAATGAGTGTCATGGATTGTTTTTGTTCAGAAAGATGAAGCTCCTGAATCAACTGCTTTAACCAGATTAACTCACAGGTAGTATTTCATTGCACGATACTCAGCTTCTGCACTAGATTGAGCAACTACAGGTTGTTTCTTGCTCTTCCACGAAATTAAGTTTCCTCCAAAGAAGACACAATAGCCGGAAGTAGAGCGCCTGTCCGAGGGTGATCCTGCCTAATCAGCATCTGAATAACCACAAATTTCTGTATTTCTCTGATCTGAATACAACAAACCTTTTCCTGGTGCTCCTTTGATGTATCGGAGGATCCTCACAGCAGCATCCCAATGTGAATCACAAGGGAAATCAAGGAACTGACTAGCCGTACTAACAGCGAAAGAAATATCTGGCCTAGTCACAGTAAGATAATTAAGATTCCCAAATAGCCTCCGATAACGTCCAGGATCAGATAACGGCTCCCCCTGTCCGGGCAATAACTTGACATTAGGATCCATGGGTGTGTCAACTGGTTTACTCCCCAACATACCAGTTTCTTCTAGGATATCCAAGGCATACTTCCTTTGACAAATAGAAATGCCATGTCTAGAATGCGCCACCTCAATTCCCAAGAAGTAACGTAGCTTCCCAAGGTCCTTTGTTTGAAATGTACTGAATAAATGCTGTTTTAACTGACGAATTCCGTCTTGATCACTTCCGGTGAGAATGATGTCGTCAACATAGACTAACAAATAGATGCACTTGTCAGGAGATGTAATCTTATAAAATACAGAATGATCAACTTTACTGCGGATTAAGCCAAACGCCTGAACAGCAGAACTGAAGCGACTGAACCATGCTCGAGGATATTGCTTGAGACCATTTCGAATTTGGTATCAGAGCCTCGCCGTCCCCCACTTTCTCTTGTGGTGTTTCTTAGCATAGGTAGGCTTTGCATTGTCCACTCTTCAAGTCGAATGGGCTCTCGTGTGAGGGGGCGTGTTGAGATGTATAGTCCCACATTGGTTGTATGTGCAACTAATGTGGAGTTTATAAGGTCTTGGGCACTCCCACTCTTTGAGCTAGCTTTTGGGGTGGTGTATCCCAAGATTCTTAACAACGTCAAATAAACTTGCTTTAGCTCACCTTTTGGTGGTTGTCATAACACAATGTAGATATACTAATAATCTAATTGTTGCTACTATTTTTCTGGACATTCACTCTAGTGTGACGAAGCTCTGAATGCCACTCCATATACTGTATTGTAGCTGGAATATGCAACTTCTGGGCAGTAGCTAAACTGGGAATTAGAGAAGGACGAGGGTTTTATGTGGCATACTTGGAAACAAGTTCAGAGCTTTTTGAATTTAAATTTATTTTCATAAATCTATCTAAGCATGAATTGATTTCGATAATTCCTAGTTTGTCTATAATTTGCTATTTAACTGGCTAAATGCCACATATTGTTTGGTTGGTGTTGTTTAATGCTTCAAAAAGAGCTAAAAGATCAACTGTATGGCTGTAAACAGTAATTAAGAAATTAGAATGAAGGAAAAGCTGAGGGATGACAGGAGATTAAATGAGACAGAATATTGACTTGTAAGTTGTCTTACATAAAAGTATTGTTAACCGATCTCAGAAGACTCAACTCTGAAGCTTGTTAATTTGATTGCGAATTCATATATTACTTGGAAGGTTCCTATCTTTGGCATGTAGATTAATGCCATTCTTTCTACTAAGACTAGAACTCGTTAGTCATAATAAGTGAGGAAACACTTAAATATTAAAGTTGTTGCACAAAAGAATGCTTTGTTATCTCCTCGTCATAGAATATCCTTATGCATTCCCGAAAACAGAAATTCAATTCATGGCATTTCCTGGTAAGTATGGTTCTTCCCTTGCATCCAAATCCTCCCAGTTTCCCAAAATCTTGAATTTATATGTACAATATGACCCTATTCTTCCGGCGACATTCATAATTTGTAGACAATTTTCATTTTGCATTGATTCCATTGTTTGATTCTTTTCGTAAGTAATTTATTTACTTGATGGATTGGTGGTGTGAAGTGTACAAATTCTGCATGCTGTTTTAATATTTCTGTTTATTCTAGGTTCTGATTTCTAGGATCTGGTTGTGATTCGTATCAGTAATATCACATTAATATTTCAGCCAGTATTTTAAAAGCATAGACTTGGATGCTACTGTTTGGATATCAATTTATTTTGTGATGTGTGTAATCGATTCAATCATTAATGCTGCAGGGAAAATAAGAATTTGACTGGAACCGCAAGATATGCTAGCATGAATACTCATCTTGGCATCGGTATGCGTTATTTCATGATTTTTCACTGATATTTGTATAACGAATGGTTAAGTTTTGTTATCTAATAGATACATGTTCCTTCTACTTCTCTGGTGATTGATACATAGAGCAAAGCCGAAGAGATGATTTGGAGTCTCTTGGTTATGTTTTGATGTACTTCCTGAGAGGAAGGTAATTATTTCTGTCTACCCTACTTTGGTGTCTTCCTGTACTGTGTACTTTAGTCTCATTTACGTTTTCTTTGTAGTCTTCCTTGGCAGGGACTTAAAGCAGGAACCAAGAAACAGAAGTACGAGAGAATCAGTGAAAAGAAGGTTTCTACCTCGATTGAAGTAAGTTAAATTATAATTAGTCTTTTTTAAAGAATATATTATGTACATTTTCATGAATCACTCTGAGAATTTATTGCTTATTCCAGGCCTTGTGTCGAGGTTATCCAACAGAATTTGCATCATACTTCCATTACTGCCGCTCATTGAGGTTTGATGATAAGCCAGATTATGCTTACCTCAAAAGGATATTTCGTGACCTATTTATTCGTGAAGGTTTGAAATTATTCTCATGTAGAAAGGATCCCTTTTGCCTCACTCCTCGAGTTTATCATTTGTGTACTTCCTCATATATTTTAGCTTTTAATCTATGTAGGACCATGGTTTGAATTTGCTTTTTTACATGTGTTTGAACAGGATTCCAGTTTGACTATGTTTTTGATTGGACCATTTTGAAGTATCAGCAATCACAGCTGGCCACTCCTCCAGCACGAGCCATTGTAAGTGTTTGCCCTCCCTTCCCCCTTTAGGATTATCTTTTTCATCTGTAATGGATGGAACTCAACTCCAAGATGCTTGCTTTTATTTAGGGTCCTAGTGCTGCAACCAGTTCTGGAATGCCACCGGCTGTTACTAATGCTGATAGACATACAGGTACTTTATTTAAGTTTTCCTCTAGAGTGATAGGCCTTTCATATTTTTATCTGCATGTTCCTTTATCACATTCTAGTTCAGTAAATTTACTTACGTGTATGATTTTTTTTTTTTTTTTTTTCGAATTCATATAACCATGCGATGTCTAGCTTACTATCACTTGTCAGATGGGATTAATCTTTCCTTTCTGCTATTTTCTTAATTTAAATATTATTTCTTTTTATTCATTCTGCAGAAATTATTGGTTTTTATTTGTCTCCTATTCCTCACTTGCTTTAATACTGTCAGTTTTTGTTTTTTTCCAACTACCCATTGATGTAGGTTTTGTATTAGCATTTGTCTTGGACTTTTTCACCCAAGTTTAAATGGTATATAGCTAGCTTTTGATCTTTCTGGTTTTTTTCATGTCTCTATCAGGAGGGGAAGAAGGGCGACCTCCTGGTTTGATTTCTGTGGATTCGAGACGAAGAATGTCAGGGCCCATTTTAAATTCTGTAAGTTTCTCAAAGCTGAAAAATTCAGTCACCAATAGTTCTGCTGTTATTACTTATTAAGGATGTTATGCTGAGATTTTTTGGAGTGTATAATTTGCATGTGGTTCCTTTTTCCAAAATCAGATCATTGTTACAGATCTGTAACTTAAATGATTCTGAATGTGATGTGTGGCGCCTGAGTATGTGCAACTATGGTACTGTTGTAAACTTAATAATTGCCTAATCTGTGATTATGCAGTTATCAACTGCCAATATCTTGGGTCAGTCAAGTGGATCTTCAAGGCGAGTTGCTGCTTCTAGTAGCCGTGATGCATTTGCAGGTGCCGAGTCAGATGTTCGTACTCGTACTGCTGAGGCTAGCTCCAGAATTTTGAGCGGGCAAAGAAGTTCACCAATTGGATCTTCTGATCCTCCCAAGAGAGTATCATCTGGGAGAAATGCTTCTCATGTAAAAAATTATGACTCTGCCCTTAAGGGCATGGAGGGTTTGCAGTTAGAGAATGATGAGAGGGTCCATTATTGATCTCACCTGCTGATCTAGTGAAGTCTATGAGTTGATAGGCACTGCAAAAGTTGCTTATGTTGCTAAGTTGAGCTGTGAGGAAATTTGGATCTGAAATTGAAATTCTGGGTTTGTTTTGTTAACTCATCTGCTCAAACCGATGAAGCTGAGAAGCTGAAATAATTTGAGCTAAGCCAGGGATTGTGCTTGCTGTAAAGCTCAGGTTTAATTGGCACTTCGCTTCTGGTGGCATGAACTTCTAATTTTTATAACATTTTCTGTGAGTTATTATATTGGTTTATCAGATGTTTACAGTGTCACGTGGACCACAAAGGTCAAAACTATCAAATACCAGCAAAAATGTAATTAGCCATTGTACTCTTGTTGGATAAGATTCCCATGGTTTCCACGATGTAAGTATCTGGAAATTATTCGGGCATTAGGAACTTGGAATGTCCTACCTTTTGAGGTTCATATTTAAGCTTAAATCATAGTATCTCTCTAGTTTTTCCCAGTTATCTGTCCCAATAAACTTGTATGGAATTTTATTTCAATCTGTGAAAAAGGTTTTCATTAAACTGGATTGATTGGTGTACTCATCATGTCGGGGAATTCCTGTAATCCTTTTAGTTGGTCTTTTTGATGGAACAAGACTTGCCTAGTCAATTTCCTTATTTGTGCAGTTGGGCATTCCTGTATGTTTAAATATAATACCTGATTTTAAGCTCGATCGTCCTAAATTATTAATTAATATGATACTCATTTGCAGTGGGACTGTGTTAGCTAGCAATTCTTTGAAGATTGTGGTAAAGAATTTCATGTGCGTAGTGTTTATTTGACTTGTAGCAACGTCTTGTTTGTTACTTGGTAACTCAGGTGCAAATGTTTGTTTATGAATTCATGGCTTTAGCTGTAGTTTCAGTATCGTTTGACGCAATTGCGTATATTTGACCCATAACTTGAGATCCATCTACCAACGTGTAATTAAAATTTGATGCATTATGTAAAAGTAAGGGATATAGATTTTTGAAATATATAACCTGATATTGAAAGACCTCATGTTTGTTATAGTATCTGGCTTTTATAAGCACGTGAATCACAACGTAAAAAGTGAATTAAACTGAATTAAGCTTGTCCTCTTCTTGAATTTGAGAAACAAAGGCTTATTGGTCAAGAGCATGGGAACCATTCTAGCTTTGAATAATAATAGCAGAGTTCAGATATTGATAGCGAAGAGAACAAGCTGGCAGTGAGCAACTCGTGTAATTTCTACATGATGTGTCTATGGAAAAATTGATTTGAGAGTACCATATATCTGCTGTATTGTTTGTTCATGAATTAAGCTACCAATTTCGCTGCTGAGACTGATATGATATGATTTTAGTAGGGAACAGTAAGCTAACAAGACCAAGTGCCCGTTTGTTTGCACTTTTAACAAAAAAGTAACTTTTATCTCTTTCTTATTTTAGAAGTCTTTTTTATAAAAGTTACAGCTATTTATATTTTTATAAAAATATTTAGATTTTGAAAAAAATATTTGATTTTTGATTTCTGCTTTTTTTAAAAGTTAAAATTTTTAGCTTCAGAAAAAATTAAGTTTTTGACTTTTTTTGTGACTTATGCTTTTTTTAAAACATACATTCGAACGAACCAAAAATGAAAAGTGCTTTTTTTTAAAAAAAAAAGCAACTTCTAAAAAGAAAAAAACCTATCCAAACGGACCTTAAATCATTTGGTCTCATTGGAGAAAATCCTAACCACCCAAGGCAACATATAATAGTATTTGCCATGTATCGCATAAGTCCTATAACTAGGTTAGTGAACTAGTTACTTAGCAAATCACGATATGAAATACTAACATATAATAGGATTTGCCATGTATCGCATAATCCCTCAGAAAAAGTATACATATGAAATACTTTTTTGCTTGAATTATGCAAATTATGGAAGAATCATTCAAGAATTTGGTTGAATCTGTCATATAAGACTCCAATATATATTATATATATCAAACACTGTTTTTGATAAATACTAATCTGTATTCGAAGTCGTAATAGATCTGATAAATCAAATCAATCAAATTGCAACTCTCGTGAATCAAATTCCCAATTTGTCATGTCCAAATTCCTAGTTATCTACAGGGTTATGAGCAAGTGCTATTCCAAATCCAATTACTTCACCAGTATCCGTTGTTTCAACCAACAGTGTGACTTACATTTCTTTCCCTGTATACTGAAAGACTTCTTGGAGAAGTCTATAGAAAATGTCACCTCTAAACGTGGCATATAGCATCCAAAATGTTTCTTCCCGAGCCGTATCATTATTATCATACAGAAAAAAAAAAAAAAAAAAAAAAAAAAGTCCTTGTGAACCTCAAAACTCGAGCAATTCAAACAGAAAATTACATCAAAGAAGAAGGCTCCTCCTAGCAGAGTCTAGAGTTCATCAATTTACGAATGAGGAAAAATAGAAGAATATTAGCTGGGAAAACGAGTGAGCCATAAAGATTTATTCGATACATGATCATACATGACAAATGGAATAAAAACACACCGATTGGCATTAGTTTCATGCATGCACTGATCTTGTTCAAATAATAAATGAATAACAGTCTAGAAGGAAATGAAACTTCACAACCACCAGAGTTAGAAAAAGAAGTCGCAGCAGCAACATAATTACACTCTTTACAGAAACCAAAATGAACACTTGAATCACAATTTCAATTTCTTTTTCCATATTACATTTCTTAAGTGTACTTCCAGCCATGGAAATAAACACTAACCATTAAATCAACAAAGGCAAACAATTATTCATTCATATATAAGAAACCCAGCCGAAAGATGCTCATTTTGATAAGAGATTTAAGGACAGTACCGAAATTAGACACCCTTAAGAAATAAGGGTTAAAATTTCAAAGAGCACCGACCAACCAAAGAAGCTACCAGCCATAGACAACTCTGTTGCACCTGTCCTTGAGCCATTTAAAACTCTTCCTAAGAGACCCTTTAAGTTTACCTTCAACAGCATAAACCTTGTAACTAGCCACCCTCTTTTTCCTCTGCAACTCAGGATCACTAAAGCTCCAACTTTTTGAAGTGGACCCATTTGTGGACTTGCCTTTCTTGAACTTGGCATCGTTTCCCATCTGGGTTTGGGTTTGGGTTTGGGTTTGGGTTGGGTACACAGAGGAGGCATAGGAGGCACTGTGACAACGGAGATCTTGCATGCCACCTCCAGAGTAAGTCTCAATCTGCATCCTTCCATCACCGTACGATTTGGATCTGAAATCTTCCATTTTTTATTTTTTGCAAAGGAAAACACAGAACAAGCAAGTTGGAACACTCCACTCTCCCCTTCACTGTTTAAAGATTCAACCTTTTTTTCCCCAAATGGGAATGGGGATGGGGTTGTGTTTTGTTTTTGTTTTTGTTATTCTGCTGTAGCTAATAGCAACCTTTGATTTTGGTTCTCATTTTCTATAATTATCGACAATAATATATATAACTGTGGTGTCTTCGAGGGGCGCTGACTACAATGGTTTTGAGTCGGTGGAATTTAATTACAAATAAAATAAAATGGTTGGATGAAGATACCAATCAAAACGTGCCACGTAACAAGTATCACGTGAGAAGCACGCCATTATCAAGTTGGATGCTTGGGTGTCCGAATTGGATCATGTGCCTCCAGCTACTTCATTGGATATCCCTTTTTTTAACAATTTGAATAACCTTTGCTTAATGATCAGTTTTTCTTTTTCACTCACCCTGTTTAAAACCTGATACCTGATCAGGTTATCTGCTTTTTTTTCTTTTTCTTTTCTTTTCTGATTTAATTTTTTTTTTTTTTTTTTTATAAAAACTAGTTATTATTGAGTTATTTTTCACGCATGCAAAAATGCTATTTTGACTAAAGCCAAGTAGAATAGCGTCATCAGTAAAAATAAGGATATATTTTTCTTATGTTATAGAAAAAAAATTATCTTATATTGTAGAAATAAAAGTATAAGTGGAACTCACAGATAATAGGAGAGAAAAAAAAGAGTGACGGGACCCGACCCCTTTTTGTGTATGTAGAAAAGTTGTTTATCTCTTGTAAAATGAGATAAATATAACCCATAAAAATAAAGGTAAGCTGCAAAATGTCATGGTGGTAAATGTCTTTCTCATGGCAGTTGTCCCTTCCTAACTTATCTCCTTTTTCCGATAAATAGTGCATTATTATTAGAATGTAAATAGATTAGACTTTGACTTAAATAGGTCAGACTTGTATAAAAACACTTAGGTATGACCTGACCTATTCATCTTGTGTAAGCATAAATTACAAGTCTTACCTGACCTATATTTAAAAAATAAAATTTTTGGCCTATTTAAGCAATTAAACATTTAATTATTAAAAAAATAACTAAAATAATATTACATTATTATTTAAAATTATTAAAATAATAATTTATTTATTTTATTTAAAATAAATAATATGATATAGGCCGGCCTGTAGGCCTATAGGTTTGACATGTATTAAAAATATTTGACTATTTGTAATAGGTCAAGACAGGTCTAATATAGGTTAAGCCATAAGCCACTGTAGGCCCGCCTAGCCTATTTATACCCCTACTTACCATCCCGACACATGGAAAAATCTAATATCTTCTTGAAGTAGATACATCCGACGAAAAAAAATGTGTTACATCAGCTGCAATTGTCTTAAAGAGAAAAAAAAAATAACTTTTATATTTTACACTATGTATTTCTGATAATACATGATACAAAATATCCAAGTCGCACCCAAATTTGATACGCCAATTGTACCCAAGATACACTCCTCACACACATACACATTTGAGACTGTAAATGTAAATAAAATTTTAAAAGGTACAGTACCCATATTAATCTAAACGTACATATGGTAGACTAATAGAATAAATTGTTCAAATAGGTGCATCGATGAAGCCTGAATTAAATGCTGACAATAGGTACTGCTTGATGCCATCACACAACAAAGTGAGGACGGAGGATAGAGTCTATGAGACATGGGGGAAGTAGAGACAACTGCCACGTGATAGCTGATAATGAAATGTACAAAATAACTCCTATTGTCATTTAATTTTTTTAGATATTTTTTGATAAATGCTTTTTTCAATATTAAATTGAAAAAAATGCCTATATTATCATTTACCCTTGCATTAAAACTTCTTCACATCTTTTTTTATTTTCACCAGGAAAGGGATGACTGAACATGTCGCGTCATAATAATGAAGTCAATAATGCTACATCTACCCATAAACCTACAATTGTGTTCTACCTAATTATTTGTGAGTTAATTATTCATTAACAACATTTATTATTTATTGTTAAAAAATGTTGTTAGTCTGTTAACCATACACTGAATATAACCAATCATTAATTAATTCATCAATAACCAAGTACAAACAAGGTGTAAACTTTTAAGAGATTTATTATTCTTATGTCACATAAGGTAGAATTTATCTCCTACACACACAAATTCAAGATGGGTCCCACTTTATTCTTTTTCTCTCTCCTCCTGAAAGTAGACCCCACCTGCACATATGAGTCTGTAGGAGATAATATTTATCTCCTACTACATGAGAAAACTATTACCCAACTTTTAATGAAAAGAGATGAAAACCGTAACCTTCAACAAGTGCCACTTTTTCAATTGAAAAATTTAGAGCTGCATAAAACTATTAAACCGATTTTCGTCAATGGAAATTGGCCAAAGAACTCTTGCAGTTAGTAAAGTTTTCTACTACACAGGCATTACGCAAGCATGGTATTCCTTTTCAACTCTTCAGGCATCCCTCATTTATTAACATGCTTGTGCATTAATAGACATCATCATTCATATGTGCAACTTCCAGACTAGGAAGAAATAAATATATTGTACACAAACCATTTATAATTATCCTTAATACTAATTAACATTTAAAAGAAACTAGTACCACTGTTCCTTGGCAGTTATCAATGCCAGTGCATTGCTTGTTTGCTTTCAAAATTTTTATATTGATACAATAGCCAGAGGAATTGAGTTAATAAGTACATAGATCAAGATGAATTAGCCTGGCGAAGTGGCAAATCACGTGGAAATCCTTAAACCAGAGCAACCACTGTCATGGGAGATGACCGTACCCGTAGAAAACAATATCGACCGACATATCCACATAATTCTACCCTCTGAAAACTGAAAAGCTTATCCACATTCCCGGTTAATGATGTATTGCTAACTTTGGTCAAGTTTGCCTTTCCTATTCATCAAGTCATGGTAGTATAGTAGTACGCACATAGGTTGACCAAGAATACTGAATATGAACCAAAAAATCATATTTCCGACCTGGGATGAAGTAAATAACAATTTTAAAAACCAATGAATCAACCTGAAGATAACGAAGTAATAAGATACATTATGTTATACCAATACGCCTAAATAGCACATGTACCGTTGAGTTTCTGAATTTATTTTGCAGGTAATTGGTGATCAAGACCAAAGGAACCTAGAAAAAAAGACATTCATTATCATTTCAAGTGAACCAAAAAATGGATGACATCATAATCATCAACTATTTCAAAGACAAGACAAATTCATTAGTCTAGAGATTAGAGAACATTTTGTTTGGTCATAGAAGAACAGAAACAAAAACATCTACATCTTCTTTTCTTTTTCTGGCCTGGCCCTCACCACCTTCTTGGGGGCAAGAGGTGTGAGATTTTGGTTTCTTGGAAAGCTTGTTAACTTTAAACTAAAAGAATACTTAGGCTTAATAATAGCAGATGGGCAAACAGAAGTCAAAACGGTAATTTGACTTTACCTGAAACATAATTCCACCAAAAGCCCACAACTTGAATATGTGGCAAGGAACAGCAATGCACAGCTACACTCAGATGAAAGATAAATAATGAGAAAAAATTGTGAATCTCCGTTGTCTTTGGCAATAAAATTACCAAGTTATTCATATTTGCATATGTACTTTTATTAGGATGAACAAATGACAGGATTCATTGAAAACATAATTACAACATGCACATGAAAATTATTCAAGGCTAAAGAAAGCATCCACGAGGTAATCTAGGGAAGTCTTGGCGCCAAAATTAATATTATGAGAACACCGATAGAAACTAGAAAATAACACTGCATTAGAATTGCCATGTCAGAATCCATCTTTAAGATATGTAAGCTGTATCATCTACACAAGCAAAGCTACAGGTCGTAAGGTACTTGAGCTTTTGGTTGCCAGCCACCCATCTTTAGGTTACCGAGGCCCTCGTGACGTTGTATATAGTTCAAAGAAAAAGTAATGATTTGCAGTCATTTCGAACAGTGAGAACTTCGTATCTAATTTTCAATCCTCTAGCACTTCGTGAGGTACTTGAGCCTTTGGTAGCTAGCCACCCATCTTTAGGTTCCCGAGGCCCTCGTGAGGTTGTAGATAGTTCAAAGAAAAAGTAATGTTGTGTAGTCATTTCTGTTAGAAAATTATATTTCAGGCAAGTATTTGCAGTCTGATAGAAAATTATATTTCAAGGCAAGTACTTGCATCTGTGTGGCTTCTTCAATTTGATATTTTCAGTTTCATTAGCAGGACTTTAAAATAATTGCAGGAGAGATATTTTTTTTGTGTTAATTAAGTTGGAAGGTGTTAGATGTTTTTTGTTAGTATCAAGATTGAATAAAACAAGCGCGATCAGAAAGTTGAAGAAAAGCAGAAGCAACACGAAGAAAGAAAGAAGCATTTAAGTTTACGGGGGAGTTTTGTTGGGATAAATTTAAATGTCCGTTTTTTATTTAATGGGTTTAGAAGTTTTGTTTTTTAGGAATGAATGATGGTTAAGAGTTAGCCGTTTTTTAGAATATTAATGAGTCAGTTAGAATATTAATGAGTCAGTTATGTCAGTTATGAAGTAATGAGGGTGTTATGTGTGGAGTTATGTTGTCAGTTTTATAGCTTATAAATAGCCTTTGATAGTTTGTATGAAATGTAGATCAAGAGAGAAAGAGAAAGAGCAAGAATAGAAAAGAAAAGTTTTTTTTGTAGATACACAAGTTTGGTTGTCTCTTGCATCTGTGTGGATATTCAATTCTAACAAATTGGTATCAGAGCTATGGAGAAAAAGAGCGAGTTGGTGGTGCCACTCTTCCATGGAGATAAGGATGAAGCATTAGATTGGCTTCTCTGTTTGAAGGAACATTTTCGGAAACAAAAAATTGGACGGAGAACAAATGGCAGGTAGCCATGAGAAGACTTAGAGGAAGCGCAATCAAATGGTTCCGTACATGGAACTGCCGCGACTTTAATAATATGTGGAAGGATTTTCTAATGGCCTTCGTAACAAAATACTTGCCTGGACGTTTTGATCTAATTAATGAAGAAGATAAAATCTTCAATGATGATGATGAAGATGAGGAAAATGATGCGGATGAAGAAGAGACCGAGATGGCGGAATCCGAGGTTGCCAACGGCAATGCATCCGCGGAGGAGATTGACGTGTCGGAGCGCGTAAGAGACGACTCGGATAAGAAGACGATGGAGATGACTGCGGCCAAGGGAGCCGAGATAGAAGAGGAGGAGAACGAAGGAGCCGAGATCGAAGACGCTGAGAGCGGCGAGTCAATTCAGAAGCCGGATAGAGAGGACAAGGAAGAAGACGAGATGTCGAAGGAGCTTGAGAAGCCAGCAAAGGAACGAGAAGCATGGAATCCGAGATGCTTGATGGAGACCGGTTTGGAGGAGACTGCGAATCCGAGTCTCATGTTGATAAACGGGATGAGGGAGATCCCGGCTAAATCACCGAGTTCATGTTTTGGAAGAGACTTCGTCCCCGGCGTGACGAGGTCGACGTCGGCGACCGGCATAGGTCGCTGGTCCGAGATGCCATTGAGGAGGTGCGAGGAAGACGACAATGAAGGAGCCGAGAACGGCGAAAAAATGGAAGGTGCATTTGAAGAAAAGGATGTAGTCTTGAAGAGAAAAAGAGGTTTTGTTGACAATACCAATGATGCAGAAATTGGGATTGGACGAGGAAATAAAATTGTGAAAGTAACTGATGAAGTGGCGAATGAAACTGAGAAGAATTTGGGCGACGAGAAACTTGCAGGTGAAGAAGATACAGCGAATGGAAACAAGGAAAGTCCTGCTAATGAAACTGAAAATATCAAATTGAAGAAGCCACCGGATAAAATAAAATATGTTCAGAAAAATAATTGCAGGGGAGATATTTTTTTTTTTTTTTTTTACGCGTTCTGACACGTTAATCTCCTCCGCGGATGCATTGCCGTTGGCAACCTCGGATTCCGCCATCTCGGTCTCTTCTTCATCCGCATCATTTTCCTCATCTTCATCATCATCATTGAAGATTTCATCTTCTTCATTAATCAGATCAAAACGTCCAGGCAAGTATTTTGTTACGAAGGCCATTAGAAAATCCTTCCACATATTATTAAAGTCGCGGCAGTTCCATGTACAGAACCATTTGATTGCGCTTCCTCTGAGTCTTCTCATGGCTACCTGCCATTTGTTCTCCGTCCAGATTTTTTCTTTCCGAAAATGTTCCTTCAAACAGAGAAGCCAATCTAATGCTTCATCCTTATCTCCATGGAAGAGTGGCACCACCAACTCGCTCTTTTTCTCCATAGCTCTGATACCAATTTGTAGGATCGCTCAAATACAAAATCAACAAATAAAACAACTATTCAAGAATGTCGTGAGGACTTGTGGAGAAAGAGAACAAACTTCTGTGAAATATTTTACTAAACTTCGTTGCTTCTCAATTCTGTATTCCTCAAACAATATACTAGACTATTTATAGGCTATAGTTTGCCTTTCTAAAACTGCAACACTAAATAACCATAAACCACAATTAAAACCAAACTTAATAACAAAACATAACGACTGACTCTTAACCTTTCAAAACTCCTAAACTTAATGCTAACCCTCATGACTCATAAACTCCATAACCGACAAATTCAAACCAAAACTCATAAGATAAATGTTAACCTTATGACTCATAAACTATCCATAACTGACAACTTTAAACACATTAAAGTAACATTTAACGTTTACTTAACACTAATGTGTTTGTGGGCTACATATTGTATAAATAATTATATTATGCTATTTAATATATATTGGGTAAATTAAAGTGATCAAATAAAAATGTCCAAATAGATTCTTAAGTGTGAGACAAATAGGTGGATACCAGTGTTGGACCAATTAGGTATAATGGGAGCTTACTTGCCCAACAATAAAGAAAAACACTATAAATGGTTATGGACTTATGGTCCCCAATATGTCAAATAACAACCCTAGTTTCTCTTCCCCATTAAGATAGAGACAGCACACTAAAGAATAAGGATTAGGGCTATTTGACTGAGGAAGATCGCATATCCTATAAAGAGATACTTGAAAAAGGGTATTCTAATATATTATAGAATTGTAAATAATCTGTACAAAGGGTTCTCTATTTATAGAGAATACTTGACCTAATTTTGACCTAATGGGCTTGGCCCAATACAACAAATAAACGACTAAATAATAACTAAATTATTATTATTTACAACAGTCCCCCTCAAGCTGAGGAATAGATATTTATCATTCCCAGCTTGCTAGTAAGTTCTTGAAATCTGTCTGAAGGAAGCCCCTTTGTTAATAGATCAGCTAATTGACGCCCAGTGGGAATGTATGGAGTGGTAATCAACCCGCTATCAAGTTTCTCTTTGATGAAATGGCGGTCAACCTCAATATGTTTAGTCCGATCATGTTGGACTGGATTATGAGCTATACAAATAGCGGACTTATTATCACATAGCAGCTTCATAGGTCCCTCACATTTTATTTTGAGATCATCAAGTACAATTTTCAGCCACAGTAACTCACAAATGCCTTGAGCCATAGCTCGAAATTCAGCTTCTGCACTTGATCTGGCAACCACATCTTGTTTCTTACTTCTCCATGTCTCCAAGTTACCGCAAAGAAACATGCAATAACCAGTGGTAGAACGACGGTCAGTCACGGATCCAGCATAATCAGCATCTGTGTAGACTTCTAAAGATAGATTGCCATCACGTCGGAATAACAATCCTTTACCAGGAGTACCTTTAAGATACTGAAGAATTCTCTCTACTGCCTGCATGTGTTTTTCTTTTGGATCGTGCATAAACTGACTGACAACACTAACAGCATAAGCTAGGTCTGGTCTATATGGGCCAGATATATCAATTTCCCAACTAGCCGTTGATATTGTCCTTTATCAACTGGAGGACTCTCTTCTTCATAGCCCATCTTGTGATTCTGCTCAATAGGAGTATTAGAGGGTTTACACCCGAGCTTTCCTGCTTCTTTGAGAAGATCCAAAACATATTTCCTCTGGCTGATAAAAATTCCTTTGCTTGAATGAGCTACTTCTATCCCTAGGAAATATTTCAGTTTCCCAAAGTCTTTGATTTCAAACTCAGAGGCAAGCCGTATTTGCAGAATCTGTCTCTCCACAAAATCATCACCTGTGATAATAATATCATCAACATATACAAGGAGCACAGTAAGCTTCCCATTTTGGGAGTGCTTGAAGAAAATAGTGTGATCTCCTTGACTCTGTCTGTATCCTAAGGTCATCATAACCTTAGTAAATCTTCCAAACCAAGCACGAGGTGACTGCTTCAATCCATACAAGGCCTTTTTTAATCTACAAACTTTATTTTCCCCCTTCACAGAATCAAAACCAGGCGGGATTTCCATGTAGACTTCTTCTTCTAACTCACCATTGAGGAAAACATTTTTCACATCAAATTGATTTATATCCCAATTGTAATGGGCAGCAAGGGATAACAAGATTCTCACTGTATTCATCTTTGCAACTGGAGCAAAGGTTTCTTCATAATCAATGCCATAGGTTTGAGTGTAACCTTTGGCCACTAATCGAGCTTTATATCTCTCAAGAGTGCCATCAGAATTATATTTCAGGGCATAAACCCATCTGCACCCTACTGCTTTCTTTCCGTTGGGTCTATCAATAACCTCCCATGTTTTATTTTTCTCCAAAGCATTCATCTCCTCGTGCATGGCTTGAGCCCAATTCCTATCTTTCAAGGCTTCATGTACTGATTTTGGGATTGCAATAGAATCTAGTGCTGAAACAAAGCTTTTGTTCTGCACAGAAAGATTAGCAGAGGAAACAAAGTGGGAGATAGGGTATTGAGTACAAGAGGGACAGGAGGAACAAGTTTTCTTGTGACAAGATCTTTTTCCTTTTCTAAGAGCAATAGGTAAGTCATCAGAAGTAGAAGCAATGGGTAAGTCATTAGAGATATCAGAAGAAATAGACAAATCATGAGAGGAAATAATATTAGAATCAGAAACAGGAGATTCAGGAGACTCAGAAGAAATAGGAGATTCAGGACTTATCAGTGGTTCAGACGATTGAGGTTGCTGGTGAGACAGTATGGGTTGTATCTCAGGTGTATTTGAAGGTTCTGACACACCAGGAGCAGACACACTAGGAAGAGAGAAGATTGATCCAGACTCAAAGAAGGAAGGGGACGAGTCTTCTGAAGAACTGTTCTCCCCCAGACGATGAGGACCCAGGAAATAAGATTCAGATTCTTGAAAGGTGACATCCATAGAAATAAAAAATTTCCGACTTGGTGGATGATAACACTTGTACCCTTTTTTATAAGGGTTATAACCAAGGAAGACACACTTAAGAGCCCTAGGATCCAACTTACTCCGATGTTGTTTATGAACATGGACAAAGGCAACACATCCAAACACTCTTGGTGGAAGGCTCTGCAATATGGGAACAGAAGGAAAGAAGGAAGTCATGAAATGAATAGGACTGATATTGTTAAGGACCCGTGAAGGTAAACGGTTGATCAAAAAAGTTGCAGCTAATACTGCTTCTCCCCAATAAGAACTAGGAACAGATGTCTGGAAAAGTAGTGCTCTAGCAACTTCAAGAAGGTGACGATTTTTCCTTTCAGCAACCCCGTTTTGTTGAGGGGTATCAACACATGTGAGCTCATGAATCATACCTCTGTCTGAAATGAATTGTGACAGGCGTTGATTGACGTACTCAGTACCATTATCAGATCTGAGTCTTTTAATACCCTTACCAAATTGAGTCTCAACCATGTGATGAAACCGAATAAATATCTCTGGTACTTCAGACTTGTCTTTCATCAAGTATATCCATGTTATCCGAGTACAATCGTCAATAAAAGAAACAAACCACCTTCCATCTGAAACACTGTGCACTTTAGAAGGGCCCCAAACATCAGAATGGATAAGAGAAAAAGGTTCCTTGCTTTTAATAGTGCTAGAAGGAAATGACACTCGATGGTGTTTTGCAAATTCACAAACATCACAATGAAAGGTCTCAACCGACTTATTGAGAAACAGAGAGGGGAACATAGACTTCAAAAGACTAAATGGTGGATGCCCCAGACGCTTGTGATGGAGCCAAATCATAGACTCTGCAGTAGAAGGATGACGTGTCATTAATAACTGATTTTTGCTAGCATGGTCTGGAAGGAGATGATACAACCCATCCTGTTCATTAGCAACTCCAATTGTCTTCTTCGTGGTAAGATCCTGAATAAGACAATAAGAAGGAAAAAATGTGATAGAACAATTCAAATCAGTTGTAAGTTTTTGAGTGGAGATAAGATTAGTAGAAAGCTGAGGAACATAAAGAACATTTTTAAGAAACAAGGAAGGTTGAATTTGAATTTTACCAGAACTAATAACTGATTTATGGGATCCATCAGCTACGGATATAGTATGACTACCAACAGTAGGATGATAAGAACAAAACAACTCAGTACGACAAGCCATATGATCAGTTGCACCAGAATCCAAAATCCACGAGGTTTTAAAATCAGTGCAAGAAGCAAGAAGAGATATAGAACGTGTGCTCTTACAAGATAAGATCGAAGAACTATCATGCTCGGCCATTCTTTAACAAAAAAAGTTAACAACTAGCGATAAAATCAACCAAACAGAATATCAAATGACCTCTGATCAAAAAAATAATTACAGATCCAGACAGAAGACAAGAAGACGAGAAGAATGGTGGTGGTCCGGTCCAAAAACACGGCCGCACGCGCTTCCACGCGCCAGAGAAAGGAGCTGCGCGTGGGATTCACTCGCCGGGAAAGGGGCGGCGTGTGAGAGCGCGTGGAGGGGCTTCGCCGGCTGAGATTTTTCTGGTGTGGTCGTCCGGTGAGCGCGCACCTGTCTGTGGGTGGTCGCGGTTGAAAAGTCGCCGGAAAGTGGTCCAAACGGTGAAGACAGATCTGATTGGAGGCGGTCGGAGGTGTTTCGGTCGTTTGTGGCGGAGGAACAGTGCGTAGAATGATAGATCGGAGGAAAAATAAGGTCAACAATGGTCCCCTTGGTCCAAAAAGTCCCCGGAAAAATTTTCCGGTGGCGGCTGATGGCGGCAAGAGGCAAAGAAATTAGGGTTTTGTTAAAAAAGAAGATAATATGTGCGGAAGCAAAGCCCTCAGATCGAGAGCTTTGATACCAACATGAAAAAGGGTATTCTAATATATTATAGAATTGTAAATAATCTGTACAAAGGGTTCTCTATTTATAGAGAATACTTGACCTAATTTTGACCTAATGGGCTTGGCCCAATACAACAAATAAATGACTAAATAATAACTAAATAATTATTATTTACAACAGAGATGATCATATTAAAGAATAAAGATTAAGGCTATTCGACAAAGGAATATCGCATACCCCAAAGGAGAAGATCGAAGTTATTCCGCTGCTATAGAGACAGGTATGCTTCCACCTTTATGTTAATATTCCTTTAAGATTTGGTATGATGGATCTTGGTTTGTTGGTGATGGTTATCACCATAAGGTCAAGAGGAATTATTATTCTAACAATTTCTAAGAGTGACAACTTCGCATCTAATTTTCAATCCTCTCCCTAGCACTTCCACAACTGCCGAAGGGAAATAATGAAAAAATAAAATAAAAAAATACTCTAAGTGTAAATCAATGCAACGCAAGCTTCTCCCCAACTTCGATCAGTGCAGCATGCAAACAAGCACTCAAGCAGAACATCCATTGGAACATCATACCAAAAGAGGAAGAGAGGATATTTTAGACAGAGAGATGAAAAACACACCTCATGGAACAAAGCAGAAACCAGGAAGGCAATTAAAATAGCAACACCCTGCACAATATGATGAAAATCACAATAATACATATATCGAGTAATCAAAAAAATAACATCAATAATTTTGACAGAAGAAGAGCCAATCCAAATATCTACCAATCAGAAACAAGTCAAACAACTATGCTGATTAGAAATTGCTGGTAACAAAGACCAAGGGAAAAAAATGACAAAAAGGTCTTAGAACATGAGAAAAAGAAATTAATGGAGTTCCTTTACTATTATTGTTCATGTGAATCTGCCTGCACATGCATGTTTGTGCATTCCAAAATCATTTATCTGAAACGACAGAACAGAATATGGCAACTTTGATTATAGTCTATCAGTTGAAAACATTTTACAGATAGTTTCCCAAGTGCATTAGACATATCGAACCATACAATTAGTACATAAAAAATATTTTGTTTTGAAACTTATATAACATAAATTTATTGATAAGTTATTACATAATTATTTGTTAATGAGGATAAAAGTTAGATGACCATTTCAATTCAAATTTGATATATTTTAAAGGCAACCTGAGATGGTAAACATAGACTGACAATATCCTAAAGACAAACTTTTCATCCACATGTAAAATGTGTTTTGGGCTGAGTAAATCCAGGTTCCGTTCAGTAACACAGGAGGATGTTTGATTACCTTGGGTATACCATTCCTTAAACATGGAAAATATAGGTGGCGGATCATCCATTTGTGAACAGGCTGCAATGTGAAAGAATTCATTCAGTTGTATACTAAATGGTTTGGAACTACACTTGAAAAGTAATAAAATCACTGATATGTTCTGATATATGGTTTTAGAAACATGGGAAACTAAGCCAGAAAGTAACAGTTGGAAAAAAGCTGCAACTTCTCTTTATTCCTTTCGTTAAAGTAGCCTACAAAGTTTTCATCCATCATCATATTCTGGTGGCATAGTTATATCAAATATATATGCTTACAAGAATTTCATGCTAACATGAGACCAGAAATTAGCAGAGACCAAAAAAATATATTATCCAACTTGATCATCAAAATTAAGTCTGAAAAAGAGACACACCATATTCCACATCCTCCAATACTGATGGCAGCAGCAGCACCACATATACATCCAACCAAGAAAAGTAAGTCACGAATTCTCTTCATGGAAGATTGGAAGTATTGTAAACAAACAACAATGTACCAGTACAAAGAATCTACCTCTTCAACAGTTTTGGCATTCCACCAATCTTTGTAGAATTCACGATCACCAAATTGAAGAAGCTCTGCGAGTATATTTAACCTACATTGCAACAGTGGCCCTTAAGATAAACAGCCCCAAATACTAATCAAACTTAAAAAAAAAAAAAAAAAAATCAAAGCTGAATTTTACTTCTAACATCCACAAATAAGACACCCAGATCAGCACTTGTGTGTGTACACATGGATCTGAACATTTTTATAAAGGAATAATTTTATTAAAAGGAAGAAAAAAGAGCATACATGAAGAGAAGAATACGATATCCTCCCGGGCCAGAGGAAACATATACAAACTCATCAACAAAATAAAGCTATCAAATCCTTTGTATATCTGTCAGAGACTGATTCAAATTAATCATGGGTGGCACACCAAAGCGAGGCTAATTTCTTTTTACATCTTAAGGTGCATATACTTCGGACAACAGCAATCTCCATACACACACCTTTAATCAGCTAGATCTTCCCAACAATAATGCAGTTACACTTGACGGTGTATAGGAAGGTGGATATCATTTTGATGATGGTTTGAAAGATTAATCAATACCAAACAGATGCATAACAGCACCATCATCAGACAATTTCCAGGGAATAGTAGTCAAGGCATTAGGCACAAGAAACTAGAACTACAGTTCTTCAATACTAGAACTACAATTCTTCCATTTATGGCAAGTGGAGATAATTTCATACTAATGTGATAAGAACCTTGGGATGCACCACCCCAAAAGCTAGCTTAAAGGGTGGGAGTGCCCAAGGCCTTATAAACCCCACATTAGTTGGCCATACAACCGAGGTGGGACTTCAAGTCCCATACCTTGCAAATGGGATCGTAACATTCCACCATGCTCCGCAACCCCGGCGCCCACGTGGGCTGGCTTTGCGCTAATCTTTTACTAGCCCCAGGCGAACACTACAATGCCCGCGTCATCACCCGCGCCGCTCGATTGTAACCGGGAGACATAGTGGAAGGCTCTGATACCATTTGATAAGAACCTTGGGATGCACCACCGCAAAAGCTAGCTCAAAGGATGGAAGTGCCCAAGGCCTTATAAACCCCACATTAGTTGCTCATACAACCAATGTGGGACTCAAGTCCCACACCTTGCAAATGGGTCTTAGGAGTCCGGGACTAGTAAAAGATTAGCGCAAAGTCAGCTCGCGTGGGCATTGGGGCTGCGGAGCGTGGTGGAGTGTTAGGACCCATTTGCAAGGTATGGGACTTGGAGTCCCACATTGATTATATGGGCAACTAATGTGGGGTTTACAAGGCCTTGGGCACTCTCATCCTTTGAGTTAGCTTTTGGGGTGGTGTATCCTGAGGTTCTTATCATAATGTTTTATCAGAAAACACTCAAACATATATATGTTGAATCAAATAAGAGATGGAATACCAAAGGTGGAAAAAGCAGTAGAACATGCAGAGCCACACATATAAATTTGGAACAGAAAGCTTCAGAACTCTCTCAATGGCATATAGAAGGTTTCCTTTCAAAGGATGCTGTGAATTTTGTACAATAGGATTAATATACTGCAAAATTACATGATCAAAACAATGTCAGAATACCTGTAGAATTGGAGGGAAACAAAATTCAAGAAAAAATGCACACATAAAAATAACAAAGTAGGTAGAAATGAACACAATTTATTAACAGGTACTGCTTACTTGTTCTATTATAAATCCCATAACTCCTGTAAATATTATCAGCTTAACAAGTTGACGAAACAGCCAACCCTTTCGAATCGAAGGCGTGCGAGGATAGCTTGGCTAAAACAGCAGTTCATAACACAGGAGATAAACAAGAGTAAAATACATGCAAGTAAAAATGTGAGAAATTTTGTTCTCAGACAAATCAATTAACAAATGTAATTCACTTGGAGATACATTAATGCTGGAAAATGCAAAAACAAATCAACTGCACAAACCTACTAAAAGAAACTCTCAAGTGAAATTTCTGCAAGTTTGAATAAACACTGAAATAACAGATGATGCCAAAGACAATCCAGTATTCTCAAAAAGTGCATTCTGCATTTATATTTCATGGTAGTGAGTCATGTAATACCCATTCCGTTAAAAGAACCTTAGCTCTGCTGCTAAATATATAATAGCAACTAGCAGATTGCAACGGGGAAGAATGTTGGGAATTTCATATGAATGGAAAGTACAAAGGAAGCTAGAGAACAAATTTTGGTGGTTCTGCTATAGATTTTCTTACACAATATTTGATGATATAAAATGTTGGGTTGTGGAAAATTATGCCAATAAAAACAAAGAGTATTGAATGTGAGATGAATGAGGTCAAACAGCCAAGATTCAAAGATGAAGAGGAAAGACAGGATAAGAGATGTAGACATTTGCTGAAAAATATAGCAAGCACTGAAGACAATGATTGAAGAGCTTTTTGGAGAAATCCTACAAATCAAGTAATTACACAGCAAACTTAAACACTCCCAATCAACTATGCTTGTTAGATGAGAATTCAATTCCTAGCAGCGTAATTATCTGTGCATGGCACATTCAGGCTAGACTCTAACTAAAGACCTCAGACATATTCCATGCCAAAGATGTACCGGTTGTAAGTCCATATGGTGGTGCCCTATGAAGCACCGACACTTCAAAAACCCTGACGTGTCGTGTCCGACACTTCCCAACACTCTCGGACACTCCGACACTCCCCAACACTCCAACACGCGTTATTGAAATTCAAAAAAAGGTTCAAAGGTTAAATTGCGTTGAGTTTTTAGTTCCAACTGTTAGATTCGTTAGATTACGATTACCATTTTATTGAGTTTAATATAAATATTTAGAATATCTTATGTTTCTTTGCAAAATTTATGAATATTATAAGTTTAGATACATTTATTTGTTAAATTATTGAATATTAAAGATAATATATACTACATAAATTAAATATATTATTCAATATCAAAACGTGTCCTAACGTGTCGAAATTTAACATTTTTTAAAATTAACGTGTCGGAGTGTTGTGTCGTATCGTGTCACATGTCCCGTGTCAGTGTCGGTGCTACATAGGTGGTGCCTATAAGCAATCTAATGAGAGAAAAATGGATCCGAATGTCAGTAAAATGGGTGAATCTAAATGAGGCAACAATCACATAAAAAGAAATTGCATCCAAAATTTAAATAAATCACTTGAAAGTGCTGCTACCTGGTAACATAATGTAGGAGCAACCATGAAGTATGCCAAGCTCTTGAAGCTCACATTGTAAGGATAGTCCATATTTAGAGTATTGGGCAGTTCTTCTCCCTATAGCACAGGAAACATGATTGATTAAGGGGGAAAGCAGAAGGTGTATCTATCACATATCTGAATAGATTATCATCCAGAAAAAGTAAAGAATGAAGGGGAAAACAGGATGGATGTATTTCGAATTAAGATGAAATAAAACTGAGCTTTAGCATATGATGAAGTTTTAACAGAACATGATCCCAAGGCTACAGCTTAGTCAAGCAGGTTTTCCTGTTTAAAAACTAATCATCACATAAATTGTACAGCATATCCTCATCTTTAAAGTATTAATTATACAAAGAAGTGGAAATGACATTCTGTGACAGTTATCTACCAACTTACAAGTGGAATTTAAATACTACCTTTTCAATTGATTTGGTAAGTTCTCTCATATCATAGTTTGTATGTGCATAAGAAACCAATTTTAACCACACAATGCAAGCTAATAGCATTAATGTGACACCTGATAGAAAAGCAGAATCACACCTGCAAAGAAATGCTATGTGTCAGCAAGTATTATATCCTTATCTATGAAATGAGTCGAATGACCAAGCATATACGATGTACAAATATTTTATCCCTTGAGTAGTCATCTTCACTGTCCCTCATAACGTAAATCACGTGACTACAAACAGGCTACATGTATCATATTAGAATGATAAGGAAGCCACATACTTGTTTTCAATTTTGTCCAATTTTCCTTATTGACTTATACTTTTATATTTTCATTTTCCAATAATAATTTGCAAAATAATTCAATTCCAACATCACAAGAACCAAACTTTAAACTAAGAATCGCTCGCTTCTGAAATAATTAAAAAATTAATGCTTTTAAATTTCCCGTGCAGTATAATAACAAAGTTTATTCATTATAACTCCATTATCAACTTAACTCATATTCTATTAGCAAATTATTTCAAAATGGACAGGTGATATAAATTGAAGCTCCAGAATCAATTTTGAAGTATACACAAAAGAACTAAACTGACCTGAGGATTACTAAAACTGGATAGAAAACTGCAGCTGTTGTAATGATTATATGAAGTACAACAACAACCTGCAATATTAAAATCAATATTCCCATGTATGTATATAACGAACAAGGATTTCATGCAGTTACAGAACACTTTTTTCACCATGAAATATAATAAAAGCTCACTAGGCCTGATCACTTACTGGTTCAGAAATACACTTTTGCTGTGCCAACTTTTCCACTACAAAGGCAGCAAAAGGAAATAAAGCAAGAGTAACACTGCAAGCAAAGCATAACCACCTACTGTCAAAATTATATTTTATGAAACAATCCTCAAAATAATTATACAAAAGATAGTTTATCCTTAAGGGAATTTATCTCACTCATTACCAACACATGAATAGGGGCCAATCTCTCAATGATTTTGAACTAAACCAAAAACCAGACTTAATCAACCAACCGTACTGCAGAACAAATAAAATGCACATTAAGACAGATAAAAATGAACTGTCAAAATTAAGGCCATAACAAAAAACGAAACTGTGCAGGTGAATGCACAATTATAAATGGAAGAGGAAAACCTTCATTAAATTCTCAATGATAAGTCGGCTATTAACGGCAACAAGCACTACTATACAGAGGTTGAAGAGGCCCGCGTGACTCTGCAGCTGATTGAATAATTAGTAAAGAAATATACATACAGAGTCAGTATTCAGCAACGCTATTTATAACAACACTGATACCATAGTTGGTAGAAAAACCTGATTCTCCCATTAATTATATTATTAAATTCAAAACATAAATTAATAACAACTACTGTCCAGTACAGATAGATAGCATAAAGAAAGAAGAAAGTACTAGCATTAGCATACATACATTTTTTAATGTTTCACAAACCATAAGGTAGAAAGAAAAACCCCGATTCCCCCACGCTAGGAGCTATTTTTCACTTGCATTGATTGTTCATGCGTTGAATTGTTTAATACACTACGATAGGAACTCAAATTTGCTAAACAGAATGGTAATAAGCAAGAAATTAAGGGCGAGAACCTGTCGGAAAATGTTTTCGGAGCTAAGCGGGCTTTCCTTCACTCTGCGATGAGCGGGGACAGAAGGACGGTAGACGAATTTGAGCGCCGAAACATCAGTGAGATGATCTTCCTTCACTTTGTGTTGTTCGCTGCTCATGCAGTCATCGGAACCAGAATCCCTCGCCAACTCGCCATTGGCGGAGTTGACGCTGGACCTGCGCCGCACGGAGTCTCCTTGAATGGCAGTGGCTACACTTTCAGGTTGTTCGGGAATCACCATCGGAGAAGAAGATCAAGCCACGTTTACTCTGTCTTCTCCACAAAACAATTTGTTATTATTATATATAATAATAACAATTATTAATAATATAGAATGAATGAGTTATTTATATGTATATATTAATTGAGACTGCGAAAGGTATTTATTGGGAGAAGAGAACGAGAGTGAAAGAGAAGAGAAGGGTTTTGAGTTTGGTGACGGTGTAGCTGTTTTGTGTTGCATGCAATGGTATGAAATGCACAAAGAGCGAGAGAGAAAGGAATCTGATTCGAATAAATGAAGAAAGCGGTTGCGGGACACAAGGGTTGGCCAAGCAAGTTTTTGTTGGCATGTAATCAAAGACAAGAGTTCATTAGGAAAGGAATTGTTACCAAATTAAAATATAAATTACAAATTTAAATGAAAGAAAAGAAAATAGGTTTGTTGAAATCTAAAATAAAGAAATCATTAATCAGGCTGTTTGGAAGTTTGATTTGGCTTATCTTCTGCTTTTTTGTTCTTATTGTTTAGTTAGAGATTTCCAGAGGATGCAGCTTGGAAATGGAAGAATTGAGTAAGTGTCTTCTTCAAGTTGACACGTGACCCAGCCCTTTTATTTTACTATACTATGTAAGTTCATGGACACGTCTTCGTTTTTCATTTCTCTCCCGCTGACTAACCTGTTTGGTCGGTTATATTTTGTTTCTTCTCATTCGTAGATTTCATGTACGACTTGATTTCTGTTCTTTGACTAAAATTGATCAAAATTTATGGTTAAATTACTAAATTTTATGATTTAAGTTCTCTATCATGTAGTTGAAGTAATACAAGATCACATATACATGACTAAAAATACATTAATATTCTGAGATAATCTGTAAGTGTTTATTTAAAAATTTAATAAGATAATTAGAGGAAAGTTATACTTACAACTTAATTTCATTTACAACATCTTACAATCATATTTAATCGTTGATTTTCGTCAATCAACGGTTATTATTTTCACAAATTAAACTCATTAATTAATTATTATTTCGTAATAACTAATATTCATTAATTGACGGAAATCAACAGTTAAGATATAATTATAAGAGATTATAAGCGAAAATAGTTTATAAATATAACATTCCTCGATAACTTAACCAAACAAATATTTGGATGTAAAATAAGAAGAAGGATATTCTTACTACCAAAATTTTCTACTACTAACTTACTACCTATCTAATCACCATTGAATTAAAAGGTGAGAACGCTAAAAAGTTTTTGAAAATAGAAAAAATGTATGATTAGATAGGTAGTGAATTGGGGCAAAAAAAATAATTTATTGCTTTTTTAATAAAGTTTTACAAATAAGTAGTCGTTTTGAAATTAATTACGAAAATATAGCAGTGAAACACGCCCCATAGGAGCGTGACCGGTTGGAGAGAGACACGCCCAATCTGGGCGTGACCGAGGAGAGACACGCCCCATCTGGGCGTGTTTCACCAGGTGCTGCCACGTGTCACAAAAGTCAACAGTTTGACCGTAAAACTTTGGAAGTTCATAACTTTTGACTCAGGTATCCGAAATAGGTAATTTTTTTTTTATTCCACATCTTTTTGAGATCTACCTAATGACACTTTATTTGGCATATTTTGTCTCTCACAAAAAAAAATTGAATTTATAATAATAATACCATAAGAACGTTTAAACTCAAATTAATAAGCAGAAAACCATTGTTATGATTAGAAACATTCATAATAAAGATCCTTATGATTATGGTAAGTTATGATAAGGTTAATTATGTATGTTATTGAGATATATATTAAAAATTTGAATGAAGAATTTTATGAAATTTATAATTTTATTCGGTTAACATCTATCGGTGACAAAATATCGAATAATTTATATTAAAAAGTTAAGTGAGTGCTGTTTTATTTTGATTTTTAAGTTTTTGTTCATGATTATAAAAATGTTAGATTATTTTTAGTATTAATTATAAGGTAACAAAGTCGTGTCATTTTTAATAATTATGGTATCATTTTTAATAATTATGGTATTATTGTAAATTCAAATTTTTTTTTTGTGAGAGACAAAATATGCCAAATGAGGTGTCATTATGTAGATCTCGAAAAGTTATGTGGAATTAAAAAAAAATACCTAATTTGGATACCCGAGTCAAAAGTTATGGACTTCCAAAGTTTTACGGTCAAATTATTGACTTTTGTGACACGTGGCAGCACCTGGTGAAACACGCCCAGATGGGACGTGTCTCTCTCCTCAGTCATGCCCAGATTGGGCGTGTCTCTCTCCAACTTGATCACGCCCCACGTGGGCGTGACTCACGCTTAGGTCACGCCCCACATGGGTGTGTTTCTCTTTATTGGAACAGCCCCATATGAGTGTGTTTGACTGCTATATTTTCGTAATTAATTTCAAAACGACTACATTTTCGTAATTTTTTATTAAAAAAACAATAAGTTAAAGTGAATTGATTGTAGAAGATTTTGGTAGTAAGAGGAGGTAAAATAATTAACAAAGAAAAGCAGTCATGTATAAAATGATAGGTTTAAATCTAAATATACTGTTACGTTAAAAAATAAGAAATCTAAAATTTTATGGAAATTATACAATTCTAAGTAACGAGATTTTCAATTAAAGTAGGCCTTTGCGTATTACGAACGTCATTGTTTACTAATCATTGATGATGTTTTTCTTACTATTGACTTTTCCTATTACTACTTTTCATTTGTCTTAGCTATATTAAATTTTAAAAAATTTAATTATAACAATTAATTGGATATTTCAAAGTTTTCAAAACCTTGATTAAATTTAACACCAAGATCAAAATTAAAGCCTGCCTCAATTTGTTTCATGTAGCGGTATAAATAGTTCATATAGTTGCTTGCCACTTATGCATATCAGGGTCCTCAGCCTTAGGGGGTGTTTGGTAGGAGAGTTTTAAGGGGATAGATGGGTAAGTGTAGAAGGGGATTTGTGATGGACATGTTTAGTAGAGGAGTCTGAGAAATAAAGCTAGGCAATGGGTTTCCCCATGAATCTCTGAAAGCAGAGCCAAAAATGTTACGTTATTACCCATGGCCACTTACCTCTCTCATTTGCAAAACTCCTTCCTATGTGGTTCACTGACCTGTGGACAAGTGAGACATAAAGATGGTTGAATTCATTTTAAAGAAAAAGTGGAGAATGATTCAGCACGTATTTAAGGAAGTGAAACCAGAATGTTTATTCTGATGAACACCCTAAATATTGAAGGGTATTTTGAAAATTTTGTCATATTTCCCCATCAATCTTTTACTTTCAACCAAACATAATCTCAGTAAATTTAATACATACCTGGTATTTTTTCGGTCTACCAAACAACATTTTTAAAATTTCCCCACTTATCTAAGTTAAACACTATTTCCCCACTATTTACATTTACCTGGTTAAAAAAATTTCTCCCCTACCAAACACCCCCTTAAGTTCAAATAGTGCGGAAATATTGCAGGAATGCACGAGTTCGTCAAAAACCAACGCTTAAAACACGGATATCTTCAAACGTAGCTTTAAACCGAAGAAAATGGCAACGCAAGTAACAGTTACCAACAAGGAAATTGAGAATATTTTAAAATATTATAAAGCCGCTCAGCCGCTCAAAAAAGAAATCATCGATAATTTAAAATCATCGTATTTGAATAGCAGAATACCCACCAACAGCAATTGATTACCACATCAGTGTTTCAACTACAGCCAAATACTGTAACTTCCAAGCTAAAAATGAATAAAACAATGAATTTAACGTCAAGTAAAACTCAAAACGTATATTAGAAAAAATGCCAGCCAGAAATGTTCAACAACGTTCATACATTAATTTGGGCAATAATGGGATTTCACATTGCGAGTGTACATATCACTTGGATATTCAGACAACTGAAAATTCAAATTAAATTACTGAGCCTATGAAACAAGGTTTAAAAGCAGAAACAAGAGCAGAAAAAAAACATTGCATAACACTTACCAAACGTAAACTAATTTTCATCAAAATAGGATGGAGGACAAAATCTCATCAGAGAAGCTCAGCAACATTTGATGGCAGCTCCTCGACTACCACATTATAAAACTTCTGGATGTCATACAGCATTTTTTCATCATCCCTAGTGACAAAGTTGATAGCAACACCTTTCCTACCAAACCTCCCACTTCGACCAATACGATGGAGATAGTTCTCAGGCTGTGTAGGGAGATCATAATTTATAACTAGAGACACTTGTTGGACATCAATACCACGAGCCAAAAGATCAGTAGTAATCAAAACACGAGAAGACCCAGATCGGAATTCACGCATAATAATGTCCCTGGTATTCTGGTCCATGTCTCCATGGGTTGCCGACACTGTGTGATCACGGCCTCGCATCTTGTCAGTTAACCAATCAACTTTCCTTCTGGTGTTTACAAAAATGACACTCTGAGTAATGGCTAAAGTCTCATAAAGATCACAGAGTGTGTCCAGCTTCCAATCCTCTTTGTCAACATTGACATAAAACTGCTTTATGCCCTCCAAGGTGAGCTCATCACGCTTCACAAGGATCCTCACAGGTTTGTTCATGAACTTCCGGGTGATCTCAAGGGCCTCAGGAGGCATTGTAGCAGAGAAAACTCCCACTTGAATCTTAGAAGGCAGCAGCTGGAATATATCATAGATCTGATAACAATAAAGCCCAGGTTAAAGCAGCTATACCTACATAAATTATTTAGGACCACAAACCCAATAGGCCCAATAAAAGTTAGATTTTTCAAATTAACTGAAAGGCACTTGAATTCATATTTTACTACACAGTTATTCCTTTATAAGAAATTTCAGAGATAAAAGAAACATACATCTAAAGTTCTGAACAGAGTTGAAAGCATAAATATTTTTGAACAGTCCAGAACATAAAGCAGGAAAATTAAAGATAGGATGGAGTGAAAAACAAAATAGATTTGACTGACATGCACGAGTTTACAGCAATAAATAAAAGTGAAAGGACTACAGGAGTAATGAATTAAAAAGCACCTGATCTTTAAAACCTCGGGAAAGCATTTCATCAGCCTCATCCAATACAAACATCTTGATGTAATCTGGCTGAAGTGACTGCCTGCGCAGCATATCAAACACACGGCCAGGAGTACCAACCACAACATGAACACCACTTGATAGAATACGTTGGTCTTCACGAACACTAGTACCTCCCACACAAGCATGAACTTTCACACCTAGATAATCTCCAAGCGCCCGCATAACCTTCTCAATCTGCTGAGCAAGCTCACGAGTTGGTGCCAAAACCAAGGCCTGGCATTGTGTCACATTGTAGTCCAGTTGCTGCAGAATACCAGAGCAGAAAGTTGCTGTCTTCCCAGTTCCAGACTGAGCCTGTTGAATAACATCAAGTCCCTTGCAGAAGGGAACTATTCCCCTTTGCTGAATGGCAGATGGTTTTTCAAAACCTAAAGCAAAAATCATACTAGTTTAAGGATTGGAACATACAATAAAGGCAAAAACAGTAGCAGGACAACAAACACCACGGTTTACACACAAAACAACGGAATAAGTCAAACAATATGTCTGGTGTTATACTGCAACAATATATTTTGAAAGAATAAAAGAATTCCAAGGCAGAAAAAAAAAACTCCAATGGCCATTACAAGGAAGAACATTTTTTTTTGGGTTAAAAATAGAGGAGAGAGGACAAAGAAAAAGAAATAAAAAGAACATTAAATTTACCATATGCATAAATGCCTCTGAGGAGATTCTCTTGCAAGCCCATAGAATCAAAACTTTCAAAAACCTCATCATAAGATGTGAAGAAGTCCTGTCCATCAGCTGTAAGTCTGAAAGAAAAAGCCATCGAAATCTATCAGATAACATCCACACGAAGACAAAAACATGGACAACAATCTCAGTAGCAGTAGTGGTGATGATGATGATAAGCTTATAATAAAACCAGATTGCGCACAGCTACTTTGAAAGAAAAGTGAAAGTTCTTACAAGTCACTCATTTTGGCATCAAATTGACGAGCATCGAACTGTGAACCCTCAGGTGCAACTCCAGCCATGACTGCAAGCCAAACAGAAATACTTAAACCACGCAATTTCTTAAGAGAATCAACACGAGTAAAGCTAACGATTCGAATAAAAATTAACATCAAAATAATCTATAAACTCGTAAGAACGTAAAACTGATGGAAAAAAATTCAATAAAATTGTTCTTTATAACTCTGAAAGCCTCGAAGCGAACATAAAAGACATGAAAAGGGAGTGAGCATGACGCAGACATTTTATTTACAAAAGAAAACGCAGTTTTACAATAATGAATAGCACAAAGAAAACAAATCAATTTTTATATCGTCAGAGAGAAGTACAGTACTGATGAAACTAAAAGAAATAGGGGATACAGAGCATCCAATCAAAGAAAGTGGAACAGAAAAAAAGAAAAAAAAAACGACCTTAGGTTGATGAAGAAGAGGTAGAGTACGTTAGAAAAAGAGTGGCGGTGTTCGTGAGCGAAGCTAGGGTTTCCCAAACTCCTCGGATCTACGCCGCGGAGTCGAGAACGAAGAGCGTTTTGGTAGCAACTTAACTGTGAATTTCAAGTGAGAAACAAAACCAGGGTTCCTAGATTTTACGCGAGTGTCCTTTTTTCTGCTCTTCCCAATTTACCCCTTTGTACCCATTCAACGCCCTTTCCCTTGGGCTCCGGCCCAATGTCTAGCCCACAAGAGTTCTTTCGAATCTTTTCACATTTTCTTTTATAAAATCTTCACAACAATAAACCCATAATAAAACTAAGAGGTTTACTAATCTCATGTTATATGAGATAATATTTTTATGTGGGTGATACAAATATATGGGGTCCACAATCTAAAAAAATAAAATAAAAAAAAATAATTGATATGAAATTCTATGGATGTATGATATAAGATAACTTTCTTATGCAACATGTTTCTTATGCAACATGAGGATATTATTTCTCTAAAATTAATGTACCAAACGACACTCGTTATAAAATCATATTAATAATAAAAAAATACGAATCAAACATTCCAATACATTTTCATTTTTAGTATTAATTTATGATACGTTTATTTTGATGATTCGAACTACATAAACATATACGTATGAAGTTGGGTAGCTATTTTTTTTTTCTAAAAAAAAGGGTAAACAAGCTGGGTAGTAGTATCTTAGTGAGAGGAATAAAAACCCAGAGAATATAACAGACATGTTACTCTCATATTTGGCATAAGGGCTTTATTTTGACATGATTGTCTAATATGAAATTTTAAAACGAGGATTCATTTCCAGGCTTTGTTTAGTAGAAAAGATCGCCTCTTCAAATTTGTAAAGACATCAGCAAAAAGTCGAGAATTTTTATAATGCGCATTAAAACCAAAATAACATAAACAAATACTAGTGCTGTGAATCATGTTCGGCACATTTTTTTTACTTTTAAGATAAAGTTACAAAAATTAAAATATAAAACTAAAAGTTGTTTCATAACTGTATAAAATTATTTTTAATGTTTTGAAGAGATAGAGATGAAATAATTTATTATTAGGATAAATTATAGAGATAAATAATAAAATTCATAAATAAAAGTTTTAAATAAGAGTATAATTGAAAAATAAATATGAAAATTCTAAAAAGCTTACATATATCTTAAACAAAACTTCTCCTTGAAGTTTTGTCTTTTACTTTTTTTCTTCGTTATAAAAGAACATTATTTTTAAGATAAGAACTTTTATAAATTTATATTTAGCTAAGCTTCTACTTATAGCGTGTACATAATCTTTATAAAAATATTTTTTTCTTTACTTTTAATTTAAATAACAGAAGTTTTTAAAAATAATATTTTGATAAAATTGATTTATTTTTCTAATTCAAAAAATAACCGGTAATTTAAACACAACTCTCTCTTTTTCGTTGGCACAATTTTATTAAATAAATACATCATAAAAATGTGCTATTAAGATTAAATATACATTATTTAATAAATATATTATTAATTACATACTCCTTTTCTCTCCAAATATATAGTTTTTGAGTAAATCTTTCTAAATGTAAAAATTAAAAGCAAATATATTTCTCTCCAAATAATTGTCGTGCACACCCTAACTTGCGATAAAAATTAACCGTATAATGAACATCTCCAAGCTTTATAGTCCATCGAAAGTCACTGACTCACTGTGTAATGAGAATTACCATATGATGAATTTGTCATACTCTTCCATTTCAACCATTATTTTGTCAATCTCAAGATGTATATGAGTTAATGAAAAGCATCGCGTTTTCTACGTAGTCATGCGCCGTACTAGCTCCACACGATCAATCTGAAAATTTTTATAAATATCACTAATATATCGACAAAAATATTAATTCAAAAATATTAATAAATTAATCAGAACACTAATTAATAAAATAAATTATTATATTATTTCCTACACTTATATATTAATTCTTTACATTACAATATTAATTGCTTATAATAATTAATTATTACATGACTGATTAATAATATGCATTGCTAATTAATTATTAGATTACTAGCTGATTACACTTAATAAACAACCTACAAAGATTAATTTACACTCTAGTTAAATATTATAATAGTTGTATTATTAATTAGTTATTTATTTTTACACGCAACTGTTAATTTTTATACTGATTAGTTATTATTTCAATAATTAATATTTGCTACATAAGTACATAACGTAGTTAATTAAATTAGCATGCTACATAACCTGCCATTAATTAGCCCTGATAATGGTATAAAAAAACACAATAGTTTCTATTTATTTGTGATCCAAAACAATGGCAAATGGCATGAAAGTCACACATGTTCAATTGTTGACAGTCTGCATTAATCTTAATCATCTGACTTTAGTGAGTAATTAAATGAAGAAAATAAATAACTAAAGCATGTTTAAGCATTAACTACAAAATGCAGACACATGGTACTTAATCTGGTGTTTTAGATTTCATCGAATACTTTCAATTGATAATCCTGGTTGAGAGAAGCTTAACAAACTTATATTTTTTACGTGAGGAAGGTTATACTTACAATTTTTTTTTTACAACCTCTTACAATTATATCTTAATACTGTTGATTTTCGCCAATCAACGGTTATAATTTTCGCAAATTAAACTCATTAATTAATTATTAATTCACAATAAATAATAACCGTTGATTAACGAAAATCAACAGTGTTAAGATATAATTGTAAGAGGTTGTAGGTATAACCTTCCTCTTCTTTATGATACAAAATATGGATATTTGCACGAAAAAAGATATCATGGTTATTAATGAATTATTTAGTCAACTTGCCTCTGCCTGATATTTTCTATGAACACATTAGTTGGGCGTCATAGTCAAACTTTGCCAATTCCCTAAAACTTCAAACGCAGTTGTTGGTAGCGCAAAGATTAAAAACAAAAGAGGCATATAACAGAAAATGCAATGGTTGTTTGGCCCTTTCTATTTTGGGATGAAAATAATAAAGTGCAGAAACTTAGGGTGGTAATAAGGCCAAGGCCTTAGCCCCGACAATTTTCGACCTGGTTCAACCTGCCTTTTAATAGATTCAAACTTGAACTTAAACTCATATAAAAGCTCATTTAATTAAAAGGCTTCTGGCTCTAACAGGTAAATATGGCCTGAAAGCCTTATAGGTCGGTCTGTTATATTAATTTTTTAAATATTTTTAATACTTCTCACTTAAACATCCTTTTCTCACTCTCTGCGTTATCTATCTCCTCAAGACCTCAACTCATTTTTTCCCGATCCAAGTCACTGTCCCCAACAAACGCAGACCCATAACCATAAGTCACGCTGAAAAATATTTGTTGGACCTCCGCGCAAGCTACGTGCCAGCCGTTGTTATATATTACCGCTGGCTTGCTAGATCGCCGAAGACCTATTTCGAGCTCAGTCTCATTCTGAACGAGCAGCCAGGGTTTCTTGTTAAGGTAACACTCTGCCATTCTTGTCTTTCGATTCAATGTATGTTTCTTGTTTTTGTCTGGTGATCGATGTTGTTTCTTCAGATTTTGTTATGCGAATGTTTTGAGAATTTTGTTCGCTGCTGTTTTGTGATCGATTACTCGATTATTGTGTATTTCGGTTTTTACCGGTCACAAATATGATGATTTTGTGTTAAAATCATGCAAACTCATTTGACAAGTTACAATGTTATGCTATTTTTGTTGTGTAAATCTTTCACCTTTTGTGCGTCCTATACTCGAATTGAACGTTCAAATTTGACATTTTGCAATGTCCCTTTCATTATATGTTCTTGTACTATTAAAATATTTAATTTATTTTGATTTATTTGTGTTGTTTCTTTGTCAAACTAGGTAAATGGCCTCTAATTCACATGCATGGAATAATATTGATGTTCAAGGACAAGAACCACTAACACAAGATGCAGATGCAAGCACCACAAATAAAAGGCAAAAAACATCAAATGTGTGGGATGACTTTCATGAAGTGGACATTCTCAATGTTGGGCCTAAGGCAGTATGCAACCATTGTAATCCAAATTTGCATGTGGTGGACCGAGAGCAAGCACAAATCATCTAAAGAGACATTTAACATATTGCTTGAAAAAAAATTAGCCCAATCAGAAAAGAAGGAAACCACTCAAACAATTATTCCGTTTCAGCCTTTTTACAATGAAACCTTTCTTTTGGTTAGTAGCATCAAAGATGAACTGTTGTTCGTATCAAAGAAAGAGATAGAGGAGATCCAACAGTTTAGGTTATGTAGTGCAGGTGTAAGAGAAGGGTGGATTCTAATTTGTTATAAGGGAGAGAAGAAACACAAATTACTTAAACATAATTAGTATAATAATAAGCCCTAACACAAGAAGAAGTTGCTTCTAGGAATCACAATTGTTGGGTTGATAATCTCAACGACACGAGAAGCAGAAGCTGATCCAAGGCTTGAGGATGATGCTTGTGTTTGTTTGGTTAACACACACACCGAAGTTGACTTCCCTTGCCATTTTTCACTCTGTTTCTATGGGGTTGTGTTTGATGTATCCTTTAATTGAACTTCAGGCCTTAAGGGTTGTCGTTTAACTCTTGTTTGTGTTCTCATATTATGAAGATTATCTAGGATACTTCATCTGGAAAAGCTAATAGATCGGACCACTCAACCAAATGGGATAACGGAGCCACATACAATTAATTTAACTTTACACGTCTTTCTAATTTTGCCATATATCCAATTTTATTATCGGTACAAGTTAATATGTCCATGTATCCTTTTTTTAACATTTTGTGCTAAATGGTCAAGGCTTAGCATTAAGTTGAAGTTTATGTCTGAAAAAAGATACTAGTAAAAATTAGTAAAATGACACAATTTGGCTTCTTTTCTTGTAATGGTCCACCATAATGCGGTGCTAAACGCTAACACGCACATCACAGGAACTTCTTCGTCTTTTCTCTCTCTCAATTGTGATCACATGAGTGAAAAGTGAAGGGTTTCCGGTGCTCGCTTGGTCACCACCTCATATGCACAGACACACTCATTTTTTTTAAAAATGTGTGCACGTGCACGTGTTGGACATCGACACGCTTCGACGCCCGGTCAATATTTTGGGACACGT